CTAAGTTCTTGGGTCGTAAACATCACCTCATAACTGTAAAACCCGTTCTACGACGTACTAGCTTGATTAGGTGACTAGTATAGCTGTAAGATAGGTGCGATTCTGAGCTAAAATATCACGCAATGTTGAATAATCCTCAGCCTTTTCTAATTTAATACAAGAACTAAGACAAACTGTACAGTCCTGAATTCAAAAAGAGTTATAAATAACTGGATAAGATGAAAATAAATTGACTTAGAGATCAATTAATGCTGTTTTTTTCTTATCATTCAATTCAGATAAGACTAATTTATATCGTGAAAGTGACTAAATTACGTTATAATAAATAAAAATGCATTTATATCATTTTAAGTTTTCAACTTTATTATGATGATAATAAAAATTACATTTGCGGAAAAGAGTAAAAATGTTTGTAAAATTATCATTTAGAGGAAAAAAATATTCCTTATGGGGTATATTAAATAAATATCAGACATATATTTAATGTTAAAGTTCAGCCAATAATGTTCGTGCAACTGGTACGGGACCTTCGTTACATCTAAACAAACTCTAATAATAATGATCCACTAAATGGCCACACTGAAGGCCAGTTGACGAGCATCTGTCTTTTTTCCCCTTCCATTTATATCCAAGTACTCAAACTTTCGCAATTCAACTGTTGACAAATAGTTTTTAATAGTAGATGCACCCAGGAAGCCTGACACAGAACTTTTGCAATCGATTTCATGTAATTTAACCTTACAATCAGTTTTATTCTTCAGCAAAAAAATTACAAATACTTACAAGTAATTCTATTAACTAAAAATAAGCAATTGATTGTTATTCCAATTTGCAGAAAGCTTTTTGTTAACACTTTATTCTACGAGTTAAATACAAAATAAGGAAACACTTTTTGCATTTTATTATTGTTATGAATATTTTTTTTCTTTAATTCAAGTTTACTGCTGTGAAGAATTAATAGACCGTGGAAAAAATAGTGTCAAGGTAAAATCCCAGAAGTCTTTTCCATTATTTATAAACGTTTACTTATCACAATACCAACATTGACTTTGAGAAATCGGATCTTCTTCACTACTTACGAGAGTATTTTGAAATGTAAAGACCTCCCTGGATATACCTAAACATGTATTGCAAGAGTTTCCGCTTCAAGAACCAAAGGTACATTTTTCTTATCTAAACTTCTATCTGAACCTCCTTCATGGCATGAGTCTCTTCAAGTCCTTGTGCAAAGGAGTCGGCACGTAGAAAGATGTAAAATGAAAGATGGACACAAAAAATTAAAAAATAGGAAAAGAAAAAAAACACAAAAAGTAGCTGAGAGTCTAGACCTAGACTCCAGATGAGGGTCGACTCTATGACTCATGATGACGTATCAGTTGCCCTATCAATTCGATAGAGAGAATCTTTTCTCTATCAATTATTTGATGGATTTCCATTGAGATAAAATAGTATTTCTAGTGAATAAATAAATTTGTAATCGATAATTAATCGTTTTTCTTTTTTATCTATGCAGTAATGAAACATAAAAATAGCATAACTCAATCATCATTCACCAAATATTATTTTTCAATAATTCCAAATTTATTTAAGAAAACGATTATTAGATCATATGTTAGTTTTAGAACATTAACAACTCTTCAACTATGAACATTATCTATTTATTATTATTATGATAATAACGATGAAATTATATTTTAGATTAAAATAATTTTTAATAAAATTACTATTATTCACTTCAATTTACGTGATGTTTAAAATAATCAAAGTATTACGTTGATAATGATTAATTGTTGAAATTCTAAAAGAAAATAGTTAATCTTCTTAATAATTTTGCGATCCAAAAATCATTATTTACTTTGAGAGCAGAGTCTATCAAAGAATAAATCAAGATCTTCTGAGTGATAAGTAGCGCTAAATATACCCGACGCCCTTTCAAAATTGATTCTATAGGGGAAATTGGCCTGATAATTCATAAATGCTATGGTAAGTGCTGGGGCTGCAGAACTCACGTGGTTTGCAATAAAGAAATCCACTGGTGATGATCAATACAACTGAGAAGCATAGTGTTATAGCAACATAGGACCGTACCACATTACGTCAGCATCAAGTTGTAAAGGATAAGCGAAGCGTGGAATACACGCGTGTAAGAGCTCATATATATATGTGTGTCTTTGCATATATATATATATATATATAAATATATACAGCATTTTATATTGGTGCGTGCGTCCGCACGAAAGAGAAGAGGGTTCTCGATAGCCAGGTGGCTAGAGAGTTCTCCTTCCCCTAAGAATTTTCCCCCTGCTGACTGATTCTCTTATATGCATAAAAATAAAGGGGCAGAAGTTCAACACGCGAACCGAACGCATGAGTATAAACTGTAAATCCTGCGATACTTCGTGATTACGCATAGACCAGTGAAATATCAATTGAATTACATGCTTATAAGAAAGAAATAGTTGAACAAACTAATTATCTTACGTAATTTTCAGAAAATTCTATAGTGTTTGATGCTTATATCTCATACTCACAGAAATTAATAAAATATATACATTTGCAATATTGTTATGCATGATTGAGAATGACTTGTTGATATAAGTCATGAGAAAATATTAGATCGTTAAAAAAAATGCCTAATGAGATCAATTCTATTTTAATAATTGTTATTAGTATGAAAATTTAGTCATGTAATTAAGAATGACATTTCTATGAGCATTGTTAGAAAATATACGTGTTTATGTTCGAAAATTTAATTAGACAAAAGTGACGATAGAAAATTTCAAAAGAAGCATTAAATGAAGAAAAAAGGAAGAAAAAAGTAAGGAAATTAGTGAGTAAATCTAACAAAGTTTATTTCGGCCAGCAATTTTGGCACCGTCTACGGCAAAGAGGGACGTCAAAATTGCAGAGAAAGCAAGAGTGAAAGAGAGACTCAAAGTAATGGAATTGAAAAGACAAAAAGAAAGAAAAGGAACAAGAGAAAAGGACAACAACACCGTTTCTTCCTCGACGTCACTCTATTTATATCATTAAGAAGGGCAGCTTAATGACTCTAAGAACTGTCACGACGAGTGAGATACGATCGTGGAGTGTCATCAGTGCATTCGATAAAAACAACTAAGTTTGCAGTAATGACATAAAATATGAAAAATTAAATATTCAATTAATGTAATCTGGCAAAAAAAGTTCTATTATATTATTGCGTTAAAAAATGGCCTATCTTATCAACTTATTTATTTTATCATAGTCGAAAATAAACACAAATAAAAAATTCTATTTATAGATATTACTCCAAAAATTAAAATGAAAATTTTTCATAGAAATCGTTAATGATTTAACTAGATAAACTTCAAGCTTCATTATAAAAGAAAGAAACTCTAGCTACAATGATAAAGTACGATAGAAATAATTGGTTTCCCAAAACTTGAAGAAACAAATCATATTTTTTTGCCATTACTTATTTTCATTTAAACAAGTACAAGATACCTGAGGCTCTATAAAGATTATCATCGTTTTCAACCAATTCATTTGAAAAAATTCAGTCAGTAGTTAGAGATAAGATATCGCAAGCCAACTAATCACAAAAAGTTACAATGAAACCAAAAAGTAATTGTCGAATAGGAATATGAAATAATCAAGGTCACTTAAACTATATGATTTATTGTGTTAATTTAAATATTACTTCTATTAAGTACAGAAATTGTTTCATTGAATAAAAATGTTCGTTGACATTGAATTTAAATAAATGAAACAAAAAGTTGTTGAAAATATAATATAAATTAAAAATAGAAATTAAGTTTTATAGAAGAAAACAAAGAAGAAAGGTAAGAATAATAAATGTAAGTTTGTGAGATTAGTATCCGCAAGTCGAGGTCATGATTCAATTTTTTAATCTCTTGACTTATTGGATAGTTTATTACGAGTTCAATAATAAATCCCTAAGCAATAGAGACAGTTGTCATGAATTAAATCATGATCTGCAGATTATTTGCAATGCCATTTTTTTCTTATTTTATTTCTACTTGTATATAATATCAAAAATAAATATGTTTGCGTGTAAACGACGCTTCATATACACACATTTTAATTGTGAGCAAAACCGAATCGCCTTTCATCATACATTATATTAAGTATGGTGAAGTTAAATATAAAGTACGAATGAACTAAATGAAAAGAGGAATGAAACAAACAAAATATGAACATATTCAAGTTCTACTGTCGTGTTGAAATACGTTATATGTATCATGCGACAATTGTTATTACAAACGATAACTTTGCAGCTAATCTAATTTATGCAACATTTACCCATATTATTGTCAGGTGTATTAAGATGAAATTATATTTTTTTAATGAATAACATTAACAAATAATAATATCAAGGAACTACCGAATAAATAGTTATGTTCATTTTGCATCATTTTATTTAAATCATATTTGGAACGCCGTCATGGAATAGAGAAAAATTTATAGAATAACAAAACTGGTTTTTATTTTTCAAAGAAACGTTCACAAAAATCCCGGAACCTTCAAATTAAATTATTTAACGCAAAAAATGAAAAGAATAAGCAGTGATTTTAATTTCTATTCTTTTTTAGGATTGACTAAATTTTCTAATAGAACAATAGCTTGATGTAATCATCGCTAGATTACGAAATTCGTTCACACACATTACATCCTACGCAAAATTAAATCCAGTAAAGTAAAGATTAACGTGATGCATTACAGAAAAAAACGATTTCCAAGACAAAAAATAAAGTTTCACTCACTTGGAATTATGAATTCAAATTATCAATAATAAAACTCAATGAGATTTTAATGATAAAAAATATTCTGGAACAAAAAATGTGCTTTCTATCGGTGTGTTTTAAAATTTTACGTAGAATTGTTTCTTTTCCAAATAAAAATAAAAAGCAAAGCAACGACAGGAGATTGTCTGATGAAGGCAAAAGAATTCGATATAAATGAAGGTGGATTTGAAATAATATATCTATAAAACTCACTCCAAAAATAATGCACAGTATCCATCCAAGTCACGGGTGAATTGGGCTTTCCTGCGCGTGTCGCGGTAGGAGGCCACAGTTAAAAGTTCGTCAGGGAGCGGCGAAAACGCGCGCGTCCCGGTTGCTTTTAGTGCGAACCAGGGGTTAAAAATGAAAAAAAAAAAAACCTTTATTATTATCCACAACAATAACAACCGGTTTTTTATGTAAAAAAAAAAAAATTTTATTCTTCAGAACCACCTGATTTAATAAACAAACTAAATAAAAATATTATTCCGAGTAAAAACTTAAAACCACTCCACTTAGTTCACTTGATCACTGAAAAGTTAAAAATATCTGGTCAAAAGTTATAACTTCACACTTCACGAAAAAAACAATAAACTAAATTTTCATGTAATTTAATCGACTACTTGAAGTACAATTAATGAATCGAGGGTCCAGAAAACCACTTCACACACGGGATCAAAATAGTTACGTTCTATAACACTAAAAAAAATGTACATATCATGAAAAAATTCTCAAATGAGATTATTTTCAGATTACTTAAATTATTAAAGGTAGTAGAAGATACTTGTTACGGTTTAATAATAAATCACAAAAAAGGAATCCCACGACAAGGTTAGAATGTATGAAATTGAACGAAACACGTTTTCCGTCGGACGAAGAAGTTGTTTCGGCGGGCACCACTTTTCAAAACAACGCGAACGACGATGCTGCCTCTTTAGCTAAGCATAAAGAGACTCTCTCTCTTTCCCTCTCTATCTTTCTTGCTTTTCTTTATCTCCCTCTTACACTCTATCTCAATATATCCCTATATTACTCGCTTACTCGCCCGTATACCCTTTCCCTGTTGGCTAAGAGCGCGCGCTAACTCACCCGCTCACTCCCTCTCGCACAACTGCCCGCGTTCTGTGTGGGCTACACACTCCTCCCTCTCACTTCGCCATCTATCTCGCTCGGCCGCCGTTTTCCACCACGCCGCTGGATCAATAATTCACCATATATTATCCCTAGTAGCTGAGACGCTCACAAGAAAAGCACAAGTCTCGTGTTGCGTTGTGTTTTGTAAACGGTGAGAGTAAAGGTTTAGTTGAAGGTAACAAAAATTTTTTGAAAAATGAACAAAACTGGATGTACGGTAGAACGACTACGGCGACGCGACGGTGAGCCGGTTGGCACTCGGATCACTTGGCTTAACTCGCACACGAATTAAAAACAATTTAATGAAAAAAAATAACTTGATCAAACACTGGAGTCACTGTTAATTTAACTTTTCACTTTGACGTTTGACAATAAATTCGAGTTGCCTTTTATGTGCTTTGACCGGAAGTCAAGAGTGGAATAAACATGACAAGTATGCAAAGTATCGGTGGAATCGGCAATCGCGTTACTCCGCGCGTATAATATTTGCTCTCAGCACAATGTATAATAATTTAAGAAATTTCTTGACGAGCTTTTAAAGAGTGAATGTAAAATTAAGTGAATATTATAGATCGCGTGAGTGTTTGGTACTTACCACAGGGCGAGATGACGTGATAAGCAGGCCGGTTTTCACAAAATTCAGACGGTATTCGGTCCGTAAATATGAGGAGTTACTCTGTTTTTGGTATGCCAGGAATGGCACAAAGAATCTAGACAACGCACACGCCTACTGCGCACCCGGTCTGCGCACACGCTGACACCGAGCGGCCGCGGGAGAAACCAGAACTCGAAACGAACCGATACGTAGCGAAACCACCCGAATCCCCGTCACTTTTCCCTCATTCTTATGTATCACGTGATCTTTTTATCCCCACTTTATAACCGTAGACGGTCAGTCGCACTATACACGTATGGGAAACCGGCTGACTTGCCAACACACTAACTTTCATCGTTTTGTTTCGATGGGGCACTTGTTGATTTTCATCAGGAAAATTGTACAATTACATTTATGATTAAGTTTTATTGAAAATTTCACAAATATTATTCATTTCAACTATGTACGTTCTATTACGTGTGTTTTTAATTTCGTTTACTACTTAACGGTAAACACATGAAAAATGATATTTAAAAATGTGTTTTAAAAGTTGAACAACAAGTTTTAAAACATATTTTAGTATTGCAGTAACATTAATAAGATTATTTTCATTTAATGTATAACTATAATAAGTTGTACTAAATAAACTATCATTCACTTATATTTACATATCATAACCTTTTAATAAAAGTTAATTTTATAACTGTTGAAAAGCAAATGGAGTTAATTGTAATACAGCTACTCGTTCTTTACTGTGAATTATGTAATAACAATTTATTCATTCATTTTTTCTATAAAATTTTAATAAGCAAAAAAAGTTGAATTTCATCTCTAATAATACTCACTGTTTCATCATTTTTACAATACTAGCGCAATTGATTCATTATCACTTTAAAATTAAATGATTCTTTAACAAATGTAAGAGTACAAAAACAGAAGGTTGCTGACTCCAAATTACCTGTCATCAAATTTGGTTAAGAGCTTGTTTTTAACCATTTCCTCCAATAATTCTAAAGGCAAATAAAAACATCAAAACAAAGAATAAGAAGAAAATAAGGTTGCACCTTTCTCTCGACTAATGTCCATCTCACAACAAATGCATAGAAGTGTGTATGTATAGTTGTTAGATGAACAATCAGTGAATCTAAGAGGGGCAGTTTATGTATACTTAACGGATCTGTAGACAATCAGCAGAGCGGGTGCACAAGGATAACTGACCTAGAGAAGAATTAGCTATCTTTGTTCAATGCATAAACACGTTCGAATCTTTACAGAGCCTACTCTCAACTGATATGATGACAACATCTTCATCAATATTCTGTCAGTAAAACATATTGTATTGTTCATTATACTTTTGTTTTCTTTGACAAAAAAAGAAGAAACTCATCTTCCGACCTTGCTAAACCCCGGCGCCAGTTTCACTTTGTGCTTTCAAACCCATCTCAATCGAGAATAAATTTAAGGAGAATCCCACCTCTACTTTGTGGAGTCTGGATTACCTGAAAACTTTTTCTAACGACTCAACGACAGTCCGTCGACCTTGGTTGCGTGACGGATTGTGTTTATTGCGGAAACAAACTGCTGGTTTATTCTCATAAAAAAATATAGTTTTTTTCATTAAAAATGAAAATCCCGTTTTTATCATAAACAATAACAATTTTTAATAAATTAATTAATTTCTATAAGCTCATTATTAAGTTTAATTCAATCATTTATTGCAAGCGCAGGCGTCTTTATCTCATAATTTCAATTTATATTCAAAATCTAAATTTAACCCTTATCTATTGGAGAAATTACGCAATGAGTGTATAAATAAATAAAAATATAATTATATTAACAGTAATATTATCTTATTATTAATAAGAGTGTAATAAAGTTTCTAGTAAACTTCAAACTTTCCTGTCCAATGAAATACGTTAGGATTTGGGAGACGTCAAAGTAACAAGTAATCGTACTCAATCTGACGGTAAATCGAGGTCCAGAAATGGCCGTCCTGATTACCTAGCGTGATATTACTTAATTAAAGTTAACGTTTCCGACCTTACTCTCTGCTTACTCTGACAAAGAATGAACGAGCACCTCTTGCAATTCCCTTAGCGACTCTCAGCCAGAAGTAAGTCGTTAGTTTAATTGCAATTTCAAATACGCGTCATTGTCATCGAACAACAAAATCTTTTGCTCAACGTTGAGTTAATCTTAGGAGTTTAACATAACATTAAATCAACTTAAATCTTTTTCAATGTCGTTTTCCATGTGATTTATACATCGTAGTGACTTAATTTAACATTTAAACTCTCGAATAAATTGCAATTTTCCTTCACTATTTCCTATTATGCAATGTCGCTTTGCATTCAATAGAGTTCTATAGAGTTTGTACTAAGAAACCTCAAACGACACGAGTAAGTTCATCGACACGAAGCCTCGAGGCACCTGACTCCTCTGACTCGAGCAAGAAATTCGCAGAGTCGCGACAAACCTCTTCTCGACCTCCATCATACTATATTCTCTCACCTGATACTGTAGTCACTGAAGAATACATATATTCCATTCATGTTTCTAAACGAATTCCCAGAGGTGTTTTTTTTAATACTACTTAGCTTGTAAATTTCATGAAATTTGACAACAAAGAGATGTTATGACCAGGAAAAAAAAATATTGCTGAGTGATTTTCACAGAAATAAATATTTGATTTGAATTAAATGAATTTCATTACTCCGAAAAAACTTTGAAATTTTGAATTCAATTAATATGATTTCGTGATAAATATTTATGAAAATAAATACAATAAATTTTTTCGTTCTTTTTGGAAAAAATTTTTTTATCGGTAATATAATCATTTTAATTAATCAATTACAAGCTTTCGATTTATTTTATTTCTCAGATTTTTGCAGCATCACTGATAGTGAAAATCAATGTAAGTATCTGTATTTCCATGATGTAACGAAATTATTGGATCAGAGTAAACGAGCGTTTAATTAGACAGATTGAGTGTGATAAGGACTATTAGTTTGTTGATGCTACAAATATTTCAATCATTTCGTATTTTGTATGTCAATATATTTCACGTGAAATATACATTGTTAGTTATTTTCATCTTAAAAAACTTTTTTTATGTTATAAATTAGTAAAGTTGATAATAATTAAAAACTGGTCCATGATGAAAAAATAAACAATCATTAAAAAAATGCAAATGGAACATTACATTAAAACTGTAATTATTACAGTTTTTCTTTAGGCCAGTCAATTACAACTAAAGAACAATAGAATACTTCCTTAAAAAAAAAACAAAATAATTATAATTAAGGCGCCTCGAGCATAAAATCATAAATATATGAAAGTATATGGAGCTTTTGTGCATTAATTTTAGGCAAATAAATAAATGAAATGAAGAAATACTTCTGGAAAAGATTTGTGCAACAACGATCTATGGAATAAAGTGAGACGAGGACGATTGGTTGAAGAATTAGGAAAATACCCAAAATTAAAAATCCAAAGTGATTTGACATATGTAAAACAAGTAAGATAGTTAGAGATATAAGAAACAATCTGTCAAATCGCTTTAAATTTTTAACTTCGGATTTTTCATTCCGTTAAATTTCATAAAATTCCACGTTAGAATGGAAATGATTCAATTACAAGTATGTTATACATAATTGACAATCTACAGTGATAAAAGATATCTTTTATCATTGTAGATAATTAACAACCGACTGTTGATAAATGATTCTAAGAGCACACAAATCTATGCTTTTGATTTAAGAAATGGAAATATCAAACACAAATTTAACATCAAGGGGAAACAATTATTAAACCAAATGATAAAATATTAACAAAAGAAATTTTTAAAAGTTCATTCAATATTTTCTTTAATAAATGGCAACCATGTAGAACAGTTAAAATTATGCTTAAATTATTATTAAAGAATTCAAAATATGTTGTAACATAAAACATAAAAAGATGGAAGCAATAATATTAAGCTCAACATTTTTTAATAAGAGAAAAGAAAAAACAAACGTTTTCATGAAGTCATTATTATTATAAACTTGCGAAATATTTCCTATAAATAGTGTAAATGTTTAAGAAAAAAAGTCAGGGTGCAAACGATATTTCTCGTGAACTATAAGAGGGTAAAAAGGGTGAATAAGGGGTAAGAATTCCAGGCGTCGTTCAAGGCGGAGATTTACCTCGCGTGCCAGGTATTAAAATATCGCGTCGTCGCCTCTCGCGGATGGCGCATTCGAAAATTCCTCTTGTACCTATAAGCGACGAACGAGACGACGAGTAACGAATGAGGATTGTGAAGAGGGTTGAATTCGCGCGCCAGGAAGCTGGGTGAAATTGTGGGAGGACTTCACCTGGAATATACCGTCGGGATTGCACGGGACAAATTCCTAACGAATTCTTCTTATCGAGAAGAATGTCCGGATTTCAAGGAAAGATATTATTATTTAGATATTACCATGAAGACATAATAATATAGTTGAAGAAACTTTCAAATCCTTCAAATACCGTGCTTCCATTTTTCAAATTTTTACATGCATTTTCCATACATTATTTCCAAGATACCTTTAAAAGACACATTTTCAATTTCATCTTGTGTACTTTTTTTTATTATATGTATCATTTAAAATTTAATATTTGTGTATTTGTTCATAAAATAAAACTAATATATGCTATTTTCTACTTACAAAATAAATGTTTTTTTGTTAAAGCCTCCTATAAAATATTTTGAATATGAAATTCTATAAAACTTACATTATGAAACTAAACATATTCTTAATTTAATAACATTAAATATTTTTTGTAAGAAACAATCGCTTCTGATAAATGGCAGACTTCCCGTGATTGACATTGATAGATTATAGACATGAATTGCTTCTATGATCTATTAGTTTATAACCTTAAAAGGAAAATAAGATAAGAAAGAAGATTAATCGCAAAAAGAAGCAAAAATATGCTGAATTGTAATCCTAACATGAAAAGTGACGACGATTTTTTCACTGCATTGGCACTTTTGAAATCATCGGATCGAGATAGTGTCATAAAATTAAGAGAAATGTTATTGACCTGTATTGCAAAAAATAAATATTGTTTTGATTTCAAAAGAATCCCTGTAATGTAGTTAAAAATATAAATAATAATTATATTTTTGTTATCAATAATTTTTTTTAAAATTTAGATTCCGATTTCAACTTGTGAACAGATAAATTCACCTAATTGTATGAATAAAAATAAAATAAAAAATAATGATCAATGTATTAATGAAAAAATGGGTAATAAAGAAGGAGATTATGATATTATGTCAAATGAAGATGTAGAAATTCCAACTATTTCAATACCGGATGAAGAATTTATTGATTCAAATACTTGTAAGGTACTATGCTCATATTCAAAAAATCATCATTTATAATTTGTATCACTACCTATTAAAAATATATATATATATATATATGTATATATTTGTTTCTAAGAACATATTTTTAAATTAAACTTTTTAAGATTTGCGGTGGGATCAGAATAGATCCTTTCATATTATTAGAATGTCAAGATTGTCAGGATACTTATCATCCCCTTTGCCATCAACCTCCAGCTGTTGACATTGATATTTACGATCCCCGACTTGTTTGGCGTTGCTTCAGATGTGTTGAAATTATAAACAAAAATAACGAAAAGGCTGTAGTCAATTCTGCAATATCTTTAATGGAAAAAACTAATAATGAGCAAAGTCAAAAAAAATTAAAGGAAAACTTGGAAGTTAAAAAAAAATTTCCTACAAAAATTAAAACTTATTCATCATGTAAAAAAAGAAATTAGTTGCATAAATAATTCTAAAAGAAAATGTAAGCATTTTATACTATAAAACAAGGTTTCTAAAAAAAAGATGTTTATATTTAAATAATTAGATTGAGTTAGTGACAGAAAAAAATATTCTATCAAAAACTATCAGTTATCTATTTTGTCACTGTAATAATAAATAATATAATAAATAGAAAAGTTTTGTCTTTGTAATTTATTTTACAATTGTATTGTAATACAAGTATATATCCGAACGTCTCGAATAATTGCATTTCTTAATACGTGTAGAGTTGTCTCTAACTCTTAAAAATTTATTGTGCATCAAGAATGACGTGAAGAAAAATCTTAACTGTAATATGGATTATACGTTTATTATTAAGTACTTAAACTTTTAAAATTAAACCCCTATCATAAGCAATCTTTAGAAAATATCAATTTACTAGAAATATTCAACTAAATATAGTTATTATTTATCAACATATTAATTAATATTTAAAAACTAATTTCATTAATTTATCATACTTTAATTTCATGAAATACATGACTCTGCATGACGTACATACATACGCACGGACAATCACCATTCCGTTTTATAATAAATAAAATTCACACATTCATATTTTTGGCCTTTATTAAGGTCAAACAAGCTCAATTGACCCAGTAAATGGGTTAAAGTAGCATATCCCAAGTAAGATTGGTAGGTTTATATGTTAAAATTGAAAAAAATGAAAGTAGAATTAAAATACCTTTTGATATAAAAAAATTTCGTTTTCTTTTAGAATAATTATAAAAAAATATTATTTTGTTGAAAAATTTATTCGAGATATAAAATTAATTGGAACACATTTAACATTGTGAGACATTATGTACGTATGAACTTTTGTTATTCAAGTAAACGGTAAAAATGCATTAGTAAATTTACAGTTTACAGTTACGTCTTTTTTTGACAGATATGTGTTGTGTCATTTTGCTTTCACATTTCTTATCTCACCAATATTTTTAACATACGATCATCAGTATAATTCATGCATCCTTAATAATCATTTTTGTGTTTCATTTTCGCTTTTTTTTGTGCATGAAAGCGTTTTAAGACAGTGCAGAGACTTTAGTAATCATAAAAATTATAGTAAACATTAGAATCATAAAATAATAAATGAATTTAGCACTTTAATGACAGAGAAAATTTCTATTAGATACATTCGAGTATTTTCAAATGATTAAGCAAATAATACCAATCACAATCATAAAAAAAGTCTAATCCAACAAATTAAATAAAAGAATATAAACGATAAAACAACTCAAAATGAATCGATTGGCACAAAATAAGCACTAAAAGTGCTAATATTTAGTATAGAAAAGTTATTTAAGTTCTTATTAACTATCAACACATGTTAAAACTAAACCAATTGGCAGCAAAAAATAATCTTAAAGCTTCTATATAAATCGACGAAATTTTACATATAAAATTATAATTACAATTATTGTTATGTATGTATAAATCTGCATTTAAATGTGAAATTTCTTCGATTCTGAATTTCTATTTGATCCAGATGAAATGGAATATTTTCATCTAAAATTGTACATCTTAAATGTACCTTTCAGCTTACACATAGTCTATTTATTTAATTGCAATTATCTATACTATTATTAATTAAATCTATTACTTTTTGCTTAAAATTCCGACTTTATCCTCATAATTGCAATATATTTTACTTATTATAAATAACCTTGTCCATTAGTTACAATAATGCTTTATCAACAAATAAATAGAAAGATCTTCAGTCGCACAAGAATAATTTTAATATACTCAAGAATAAATTATTTTCAAAAATAATTTTGTAATGTATTTTGTTAAAACACTTTATTGTGGAGTTTTTTAAATACTTGTTTTGAATAAAATCCTATGTAATTATTTTGTAATATTCATGTGCACTTAAAATTGAATAGCAAACTAATTTGTATTTTAAGGAAAAAAAAAAAAATAATGTTTTTTTGAACTACAATTATAAACCATTATATTGAAATACGCTAAGTAGCTGTTACTCATAAAGATCGAAAAGAGATCGACACTAAATCATTTTTTCCTGGGTATAAATTTTCCCTTTTATGGTGTTCACAGAGCAGCTACATTTCCTTGAGTAAAAATAATTGACATCAAAAATAGTAAATAAATAGCAAATTAAAAAGCATACTTTTCTATGAAAACTGTTTCCACATGATTACAATTTTTTTAATACTTCATTAAATTTATTTTAATATTTTTCTACTTAATTTGCTATAATAATTGTACCCTAAAGATATTTTTAATTGAGATAATTTATAATTATTCATAATGAAAGTTTCATTATATCGACTAGACTGCATAATATAGACTAGATGGCTCATTGCACACATGGTTTCTGCACATGCTTTTCCTTCACTAATAAATAGCCAAAAACTCTTATACAATTCATGAGTCATTAGGTTGTTGTGATATTTTTTGCAATATCTCTTAATCATGAAAACTACTTATCTTATTTCTTAAAAATATTTGTCATAGTTAATAATAATTAAATTTTATTTTCATAATTGTGCAAGAAAAAATTAATTTTCTGTATCTTGAGGATAAATTAATATAGTTCATGTTATTTGATATTCATAAATATTCATCATATTAGTTGAATGAATTATCCTAATGTGACGCTTTATGAACAAAATATGATTAAAAAAAATAAGTCAATTTAAAAACAAAAAAGGAAATGTTGATAGTAAATTCATTGAAAAATTTTTACAACAACCTAATCCTAATTGATATCCCAATAAAACTGCATAATATGCATATAGAGAAATTTCGATTGTTCATCACGTTTAACCCATTTGCGTGTGCTCAAATATTTTCTTCACTCTTTTATCATTATAAATCTCTATGAAGAGGTACAACAAGAAAAGGCCTTATCACGTTTAATATCCATTCATCAAGTGCCCAGTGTCTTTTTGTGGAAGCATTGGTTTCAAAATTGGCATACCAATATATACAATTTCGGCATTTAATAACGAACATCATGACAGTAGGCACTTTAAGATGAATTTAATTATCATAAATTGATTTATTAAAAAAGCTGATTTAATCAACCTTTGTTAGAGGTAAACCATGACCAACTATCAACTGTTCCTTGGGAAAATCCAAAATTACTGTAACATGAAATCCCATGTTTGCCGATGCAATAATATATTCGCATAGTGAAAACCAGCTGAATGCTGTGTATAATTTAAAAATAAATATAAATTATTTCACTCTTATTTCTTAATTTCAACTGAGACAACTAGTAACCATGCATAAAAACGTTTCAAAGTAATATCATTGGGATATGAAAGTTTTTATGTTTAGAAATCAATTTTTTTTGTCTCAGTCTATAAAAAATATTAATCAAGACTTACCTAGGTCATGGCAGAGTAATCGGTGTTTCAAAAAAAATATTATAAGGCCAACAGTGCTGACCAAACTAGTAGTAAAAAGTATTTCTTTATAATGAAGACTTTGTGCGTTTGGCGTTACTAAACGACCTAATTTAACCGCTGCTAACATATATGTTAAAGAGCTGACCATAAAGATAATAAAAATTTTTTCATGGGCATCTGAAAAAAAAATTAATGAATTGAACAAATACTGAAAAGAATCCATTCTAATTACTATCAAAACTTGATAGAACAATTCAAGATGTGACTTTATTTATTAAATTTATTGTATCATCACTGACAGTCTGGTTATCACAATTTAACTTTAATCATGCTGCAAGGTCTCATTGTTAAGCTAGAGATAACAGCTTTGATTAGCACGTGATTACTTACAATAATTTTCTCTGTTAGAGATATAAGTTACCCCACAAAGAGCGGCTATTTCAACGAGATTTAACCAAAAGCACAAATTTAATAGCCGACATCCAAGAATTTTAGCTGGCAGGTGCTCAAGAGCAAGAAGAATATTTCGATAATAAGAATGGTATACAGTGGCTATAACAAGTCGTGGTCCAATATGTAGTGCAATTGTAATACGCCACAAATATCTTTGCGGAGAAACACCTGTGATAGCAGATATTGATGGCAGAACATTATAAACCTATTAATAGAACAAAATAAAAAAAAAACATATAATTGATTCTTTATTAATAATAATTTTATATATATTTTTTATATATTTACTCGGCAATGTGTTTCATGAATGTCGTCTTGTTGAAAGATGTAAGCTGTGACAAAACAGATCAATAAAGTAACCAGCGGCAAACAAGCGGTAGCAATACATAATTTTCTGAATGATATTGCCAGATGAATGGAACCCTTGTTGTTTTCCACATTATTAAGTTCTATGGGTTCCATAATTGATTTATCTATTGTTCCCTTGTTATCAGACATTTATAATAAGAATTAAACATTCATTTTCAATTATTTCATATTAATTTTGCAAAAAACTTCACACTTTATTTCTGAGGTTTTATCATCATCTTTGAGAAAAGTGCCAGGCACATTTTTTATTCCCGGAAAAATAATCTGAAATAAATAGAAAAATATTATTAGTTCATCCTTCAGTTTTGCGTTTCAAATTAGAGAATCAATAGGCCATATAGAAATAAATGGCAGTATTAATAGAAGTAATGAAATTATTTTAAAATAACTCTTAATAAATATTTCAATTTTAGAATTGATTTTTTCAGCCCACTATATTCTAAAAATAGAAAACTAAATCAAAAATTTAAACAAAACGAAAAATTGAAGAAAAAATTAAATTAAATAAGTTTTTTTTTTTTCAAAATTCAAAAAAATTAATAAAATATATTTACATTTAACACTCATTGATAAAAGTTCTTATTTCAGAAAATCTTCAAATTAACCTTCTGAATAGAGTACGATAACAAAGCTGTATGTATAACTGACAGAAATTGTCACAAATTGTTGAGATTAAAAGTGATAATTAAATGATAAGAGGTAAAATATCACATCCATTAATTCATGACCACTCATTAAATACTAAAAAGATATTAAAACGTATAAACGTTGAAAAAAATCACAAAATAATCGATTTTCTCAGACATTAAGAATTAAAACGTACCAGCTGCACAATCCCCATCTGGCTTTTATCGGCGCGGCGCTCGCAATTTCTCAGTGATCTTTTATGATCGCGCATAAACGAATGCGCACGCACATACCAGTAGAAATTGGCGCACTCTTGTCCTATTATCTTTGTAGTGAGTCCCGCTTTTCATATCGCTCAAAAAATTTAGATTTTTTATTATCAAGTTGTTTTGTACTCTCGCAAACACATCGAATGAATTTTCTCCGCATTCCACCTCCTCTACCAGTTCACATTTGATTCATCTACTTTATCGATAGTAGATAAAACCAAATCTACCATCTCTGCTCCGAGTAAAGTAGATCTGTGTATGACATATTTTTAAAATTGATAATGGTTGTATATTCTCATGGATTTATTTATAAATTCTTATGTATGCATAGAGCTCTAATTAAGTTATAAAATAAATAGTATTCTTAACAAATCATATAGATAAAATTTATTTAAAAAAACCATCATGAAAAATTTTATAAATTTAAAAAATTCGGGCCAACGATGTAAAAATTACGATAAGAAATCTAGAAGAAAATGGAAGCGCTCCAAACATCTTGTACATCGTGTTCATCTGACACGAGAAAGCGCATGCGTACAAAAAGAAATGAATGCGCATGTCTTTTGCCTCTCGATTTGGAGGGGCGTAGAAAGGAGGCCATATTGTACAGTTAAATTGAAAGAAAGAAAATAATTTATTGTATTCTTCAGTAAGCGCGAGTTTTTTCATTAAATAATTAAATCGGATTCATCATAACATCATAATAAATATTTTTGTTAATAAAATAAGTTTATGAAAATTCAGTAATCACGAAGCGCTTACAGAACAAGCAAAGAAAAGTTGACAAAAAGAGAAAGACAAGTAAGAGAAAGAAAAAGATACAGGAACTGACTTGAGCTCTCAAGCTGTCTCTTACATATATTCTACATTAGAATTTTGTGATTTTTTCAATATTTATAAATAAATATTAATCGCCCTCGCTTATAACATTGTACGTTTGAAAAGGAAGTTTGTTGCTGCCACAACGAGATGGGCACTCGAGACGACGAGTACGATTATTTATTTAAAGGTATCTTAACGTTCATAGTTTCATCTCATCCTCATAATTATAAGTAGTGTAGTGAGCTAGGTTTCAACTGGTATATCTCATGTTTATCTATTTTCTTAATATCCACTTTTAACCTTTGCTCTTGTGTTCAACCCTTTACACGCTATAAAAAAGCCAATCATTGACATTGAAGATGCACGTCATGAGAATTGACGTCGGCCACTAGTAAGCGGGCCACTCAACGTCTCATCCGTTGTAACCGCTACTTTGCTCATCAGACGACCAATGACGATGCATTTTATAACTTGATTAGTCCACCAATTGCACGATAATATACAAAAAAACCATATATAAAATATAAAAATAACTTCATAACAATCATTGATTCTATTGTCTAACCACAGCGTGCTTCCGTTGCGCTTTGTGGAGATTGCGAAAGATACAAAATGTCATGAGTCCACACATTATCTAAAGTGTCGATGATATCATTTTTCAAGTAAGCCTATTAGTCGAAATAATTTACAGCTGTTTTTGTTGTTATTGATTTACTTCATTGTTAAACAACAATAGTTTTGTCTAAATATTTTTACATATTTGATTTTTTATTATATCGAATGTGTATGCAAAATATTGAACTTGAAAAAAACTTATCAACTGTACATCAAAAAAACTTAATAAATGTGAAATTAATTGGTTACGAACAAAAAATTGAAATTAAAAAAAGGTAATATCATTTAATAGTTAGATACACGATGAGAGTTGATTGACACTTACGTAGGAAGAAGATTATTAGCATACAGCGAACTTATGGCCTTATAAAAATGATAGTAGACAGTTATTGACATTTATTGATAATGTAATTCAAATTTTAACTAAACATTAAATTACTTTATTCATGAAATTTTTCTTTAATTATTATTAAATTAAGTAATTGAGTATATAATTTTATTAATTACATTATTCATTTTCGTTTTCAGTGGTTCTCATTGGAGATTCTGGAGTAGGAAAGAGTAACTTACTGTCAAGATTTACTCGAAATGAATTTAATTTAGAATCCAAGTCTACTATAGGCGTTGAATTCGCCACACGTAGTATACAAGTTGATGGAAAAACTATTAAAGCTCAAATCTGGGATACTGCTGGCCAAGAACGTTATCGAGCTATTACGTCAGCGTAAGTGATGAATAACAAATTTTTTAATATTATTTGATTTGTGTATGTCTAATCTAATTATTGCTAATTTCTAATCAATTGGAATTCAATAGGTATTATCGAGGAGCTGTTGGCGCCCTTTTAGTTTATGACATAGCGAAACATTTAACATACGAAAATGTTGAACGATGGTTACGAGAACTACGAGATCATGCTGATCAAAATATTGTGATTATGCTTGTGGGTAACAAATCGGACTTAAGGCATCTTCGTGCAGTACCAACTGATGAAGCCAAATCTTTTGCTGAAAGAAATGGTCTTTCTTTCATCGAAACATCGGCACTTGATTCTACTAATGTTGAAACGGCCTTCCAAAATATTCTTACAGGTAATAATTTTATCTTTATTAATATTTTTAGAAAGTCATCATGTTAAGGAGCTATTGAAGACGGTAAATTTTCAAACCTGATTTTTAATACATAAGAAATAAATTTATATTATAATAATTTGAGTATTATTAGATTTTTAATTGTATTTTGGATCAAATGACTCTCAAACTATTGAAACATAAATTTATTATATATCAAAAAATTGCGTTCATAATTTCACCTAATTTGCCGTCTTCAAAAACGCCGTAAAAATGCATGTTCATGATTCGAAAAAAGTCTACTAATATTTTTGTGTAGTATATTGTTTATCATTATTTATTACTACATAACTTATTATTAAAAAATTTATTATCTTTTATTCAAAATGTTTATTTAGTAATAAATGCTAAAATTATACTTATTAAATAATTTTTTTAACAGAAATATATAGAATTGTTTCTCAAAAACAAATAAGAGATCCTCCGGAAGGAGATACAATCAGGGCACAAAATGTAGAACCTATCGATGTAAAACCAACAATGAGTTCTGATGGAATGCGTAAACAATGCTGCCAGTGACTCGCCGCACTACTTTCCACGTGAGGGCTCAATTACTATATTTGTAAATTATTTCAAAAACTATTGCAAATTAATTTAATAATACATTCAGTTTTTTTATTTCAATTACTTTATATCTATCTTGCACTACATTTTCATGATTAAACAATACCTTCAAAGAATATTTTATTTATTAATGCATTATAACATTCAAATTTTTAAATAAATTAATTCATGATTATTAAACTAATAAATTTATTTATTACTTGAGTTAATGAAAACACTACCTCTTTTCTTTTTATCCGATTCATACAACAATTGTTTTTTTATTTAATTCAATAATTTAATTATTGGAACGGTTTTTACCACATAAATTATATAATTATGAAAATTAATTTTTTTATATTGAAAAAAAAACTAAACTATTTATAATTTTGCAGAAGAAGTTGTCCGGAGGGAGAAAAAATAAGAACGGTGACTGGTGATAAATATTGCAGGTGCATAATGGTAAGAGAACTAAGACTATGTGTGCGGGCCTGTACTCTGGTATACTGAGAAGAATTCCTTACGTCAGTAAAACATCAGAATTAAAATAAAACAAAGAAAAAAACCCGGGGGATGCTGCGGTCTATCGACATTGAGGACATTCAAATATATTATCTTACATGTGATCGTGAACGCATTTCGAGCATTCTTCAGTTACATTTAGATTGTGGTTACGCTCGTGAAGCGAACAACGAACACTTGTCTCATAAACCTGTGTCCCTTTGGAGTTGACTTATTATTCTATCTCCTTCGCTCTCTCCCTCCAATTATCTCAAAATCCATTATTCTTAAACGATCATGTTTATCTGTAAGTTATTTAACAATAAACATGTGTCCTGAAAATACAGACTCACATACATAGCATACAACAGACACAATAACATATACATAACTGACACGCAATCACGTGGTACATAAATATTATTATGTTACAATAATTAAATGTTGTATTATCGCTTCTTTGTAATACATAATACAATTATTATTCTCTACGCATAGTGTGACCGCGACTTATATTACATTTTTATCAATAATAATGATAACAATAATAATAATAATAATATATTTATCATGAAATTAAGTGTATCTTTACGCGGCCACATGAGAACGCCGAAAAATTATAATATGAGTAATGACAGTTGATTGTGATGAAAAAATATCAAAATACAAATTTTTAAATTTATCGGAAAATTTAGTAGAGATGAATATTAACGAATAAAATAACAAAATTATGATTGAAAAATGATTTTAAATCTTGAAAATCAGATCTTATTGCTCACTATCCGTCGCGCTCTCACGTAGTTGTTATTTCATAAATGTTAGGCACCAAGCTATCGTGGCTTTTGGATCACATTGTTTTTATTACAAGAGGCTTTTCTTGTCAAGAGCTGTGCGAGAAAAATAAGTAAGAAATGATTACGATAATGATATTAATGTTAATTATAAATAAATTAATAAAAATGTATTGTATACAGACATGATTAATCAATTTTGCTAATTTTTATTCATGACTGTATAAAAATATACATCCATAGTTGTCTAACAAAAACCTTCAAGCAATGAAGTCCCATAAGATATTATTTTCATTACTGTATGATTGATTATTTTCACTGCGTAATTATAATTACCACGAACTATTTATTTACTATTAGTACTGCCAATGATTTTGTTGGCATAAAAAAAATCTAAAAATAAAACTAACTGTAGGAAATATCACCGAAGATGGAACATAACAAATAATTGTACATTGAACGATATTTAAAAAAATTGATAATTTAGGAAAAAAACATAATTATAAAATATTAACACTGTTTAAAAAACACAAGCATTATGCGCATTTCTCTAACATTATATTTAACCTCTATTATGATTTCGATAGTTTAAAAACATACAATACAGCCTACGAGCTAAGTGAAAATTTCCTTTTTTTCCTCCAAAACAAGTGAAAGTACATAAACAGAAAAATGAAAAGAAATGATGTCAAGTTAACGAAATGAAAACAAAAATCTTAACGGCCAGAAATATATTGACAATGTAGTCTTCAAGTTATCTGTATACGTAGGTGAACTAGATAATCATGGAAACTGTGGTTAATCAAATTGTTTTCTTCTATTTTTAAGTGATCATACATGAGTAAAAACAAAACAAAAACATAAATTAAAGAATTATACAAATACAAAAAAATTCATGTATTGCTTATCCTAAATGATTATCGTAAAAGGATATTAATTATTTACTATATTTTACTATTTTGTATTTATGCAATAGTTTCCATTTCTCCTTAAAACTAATGTCAATACAAAATCTTAATTTTTACTTAATTTTAGGACATTAACTGATTAGAAAAGTTTTACACAGTGAATTTCATTAATAAATAAATTTACAATTACTTATATAAGAACGATATAATTACTATTGCGTAAATAACAATATATAGCACGACTTATTGTCTTGATCACTTTTTGATGGATTGACAGCTGTAAAATTCGTTGACGTAGTTTCACGCTAAGGTGTTGAAAAAACTGACGCTGATTCCAGACGTACAGTACTTTTCTGCACTGCATGCTGATTCTTTTGCCTCCATTCAAGCCATCGAAGTAACTCTGGATTACTGGCTGCATCATTGGTGTCTGTTCGTGCTTCTAGCTGTTGATAATAAGCCTCACGAAGAATACGAAATGTCTGCACATTTCGGTACGGCAGATTCGTTATAGGATCGAGATATTTTGCCGGAAGTCTATCATAATGTAAATATCAAAAATAAATTATAAAAAAAAATTTCACTAATTGCATAATTATTAATTATGAAAATATTATTGTACGATTATGAACATCGTTATTCTGTTGAATATTAAAATATCAAAATGAATATCATGTTACCTGGTAATAGCACAAAGAGACCGTAATGTTTTTCGAGGTGGTGGAGTTTTTTTAAAAGCTTTCAAAAATAGTCGTTCAGTCTCAAAAGTAATGAAGGTCCTCTCATAAAAATCACCAGTTTGTTCTCCTTGAAGTTCAACTCCTTTTTTTACAAGATGCTTATTACTATTCGACTCTAAATCTTCATTACTGTCGACATCTTCAACTGGGCAGCTACTTTCCCTTCAAAAAATCGATATTGAAAATAATTAATGAAGAAAGTAAATTGATTAATACGTTATCATAATCACTCTTAATATTTATATAAGTTGTTTTTATGCCATTCTACTTTAACTTTCACAATGATTTTTTAACTGAATCTTTCAAAGATTCTACTGTGTATTTAAAATGAATTTAGTAATTTTTATAATTTGTGGATAGTAATAACAAAAGAAAACATTTTGTATTAAACTTACTGGCTCGATAAAAGTACATCAGATTGATTACTGTTCGTATTAGATTCATTTGGTTTATCATCATCACCTTCAACATTTATTCGATCATTATCTCTATCAACTTGTGTTGTTTCTGACAACACCATAACAGGCATAGATAATGATTGGTACCGTATCATCGGCTGTACAAAAGCTTTCCTTACTGTTCTTGTATTTTTCTTTTCACTCTCTAATTTTTGATACTTTTCTGTAATATAAATTAAAAAATCTATTACATTTTAAGAATTATATTTACTTTAAATGATCAATCTAAATATTACAATATTTACCAAGTGACTTGAGATTAATTTTTTCTGTTTCCAATGCTTCTTTTAAAAGTTCTTCTTGAGTAGGTTTCCATACGTCGTGTCTTATTTTTTTAACTTTTCTTCTCTGATCTTCATTCCTTTCTTTTAATCTTCTCTGAGTTGCAGCTGATTTAGCTGCTGTGGATCTTCTAATTGATTTTCTTTCTAAAAAATAGTATATAGCTTTATATAGTATATTATAATAAAATTCTTCAGATAGAATTTTATGATTAATTCATTTACTTACATATGATTTTTTAAAATAAAAATATGAATAAAAATACCTGTACTATCACTCAGAAATCTTTTTTGTCTTGGAACTCTTGGTTTCTTTTCTTTCGGAGCAGATCGTGGTTGTACAGTCACAGGTTTTGGCTCTTTATAAGCTTTTGTCACTAGCCTTCGTTTCTTTTTTGGTCCTTCTTGTTCAGTATCTGAAACTGGCTCGTCATTCTCGTCTATACTAAAGTCGGAATCTACTTCATCTTCTCCTTCATCTTCTTCCCTACATCAAAAATAATAAATAAAATTGAAATAACGCGATCTCTTCACATATTATTAAATTTCAAAGCAAAATATATTTATGAATAACATGAAATGAGTGGAAACAACAAATAGTCTTAAAATAAATTTAAAAAAACGTATTATTAATATTGAGAAAAGACGTCAACAAATATCATCTTACATATAATCGTTATCTTGTTCAACCTCATCAAATCCACCGTAAGTAGTTTTATAAAATTCATCTTCTTCCTCTTCATTTAATAATCTTGCCATTTTACTGCCAGCGTTGGCTCTTCTTTCTCTTGTTGATGCCATTTTAATAATTTACTTTTCGATAAAATAATTTGTTCAATGATTAATTTTTACTCTACTACTAACATAAAGATTTGGTGTTTTGTTTTTTCACTGTGTTGATAAAATTGTATTGTACGAATTTCCTCAACTTTTTTATGTAATTAATATTTCTAAAGTTTATTAAATAAATTTAAACAATAAATATATTATCATAATTTAAATATTTATTCACTTATTCTTCTTACAAAGAACATTTTTCATTAAACAAAAATATGATATTCTTTCTATATTTTTAACAAGCAGTAACAAAAACCAATGAACCAACATCACATGTAGATAGAAAAATATATTTATATTTCTTCAACAATTTATCTACTGAGAAAAAAATCGACAGATGACGCTATGGAAGTAATTCAATGCTTGTCTCTGATTGGTTGCAAAAAATATGTCGAACCAATAGAAAAGCAGAATCAAAATAGATGAGGTCGTAACCCATCTGAATTGCATATAGTGTATGCTTGGCACTTGGAGGTCGGTTGTAATCGGCTTTCTTCGAGAGGGTCGAGTCTGTTTGGCTTAGCTGGCAAAAGAGTGGGGCTTGGTAGGAGAGCAAAGCTCTAACTTTGTACCAGTCATCAGGCAGCAGTATTTGTCTCTCCGCTCGTTGATTTGGTGGTTTCATTTCGTAACGGGAGAGTTGGGTGTGAACGTTTTGCGCACATTCTAAGTTCTCATTTATTTTTTAATAAGAACACTTTTTCGTTTGTGGGTTTTTAATAGTAATACGCAGAAGAAAAGTTTTGAGAAAAAAACGAGAGAAGAAATATATTGAAGAGTGAGAAAAGTGCTTGTGTGAAATCAGTGTAAAGCCAATACACGCACCGTGACGGTCTTGGAATTGGAGAAACGAAGGACCTGAAACGCAAGAATCAAAAGCAAGAGAGAGCTAATTTCTCATAGTGAATTATGTGGAATTCTGCTGCAGGATTACAATCAGCCACACGTCTAGTCAGCTGACATATTGCGCCCTGCTACACTACAGTAGCCTTCGGTAAGTGTCGCAATCAAGCAAATAACTTCCACCTGACCATCTAAGTGTACTATTTTTACCAATACGACCAAGAAAATAGTGCATAGGTATTGCATTTCGCGTGAAAACTTGTTTAAAATGTGCTCTCAAATTTTATCCAAATTTCTTCTAGCTCATTGTTCTCTTGTGCTCGTCATTCTGCGTGCGTAATCATGATCCATAGACTCTTACTATGGGTGTGATCCCCACACAAAAGCTATACAGCTACAAAACTTGTCTTTAACATGAAGAAACGACGCAATAAAAGACGAGTAGTTTGATCTTGACCCTGTGCTTTAGATGATTTTTCAATGACTTCATTGGTTGGCTAACTTTCATCATCATGTCCAAATTCCCATCATCATCATCGTCTTTTCGTCGGCAACGTCGTCCGGTCATCGTCGCCGTTGGACGACGCTAGCGCCGAATGTGAGAGTATGAGTTTTATGGACTCATGGCTTATGTTTGTGTGAGCAAACCCCTCATACATTTCCCCTTGTCTCCCTCCCCTTCAGCGTGTTCTCTCCTCACCCTCGCCCTACCACCTCTTGCCTACGATCAACCAACGCACAAAGCGCGTTTACAGAGACTTTCGTGCTTCAAATCGTCCATGCTTTCTGTGCCAACTGTTAAATGGCTATTTCAACTGTATAATTCTTTTAATACATTCATTAAATAGAAAGGAAACTAGGGATAATCGTCAGTGAATCCTTGGTATCACCCAAGCTCTAAGAACTAATAAAATATTATTTGCCCCAACTTTTCTTCCAGAAATTCCCAAAAAGAATAATAAAAAAATATATGTATATACCCACTGAGGGTCAGAGGAAAAATTACCATACACAGAAAATTTCTATAATACAAAAAGGTAAACAATAATCGATTTACTTTATTCATTATTTACAAAAGAACAATGACAAACGTTAGTTTAATGAACCTTCTGTTATAAAGAAATAAAACAAAGAAATTTTTTAAAGAACCAATTAGGAAAACTCAGAGGTCATGAAGAGATATAAAATATTTTTTTACATTAACAAAAAAAATAAACATTACCATAGTAGTCATATTGCCATTTTCATTAGCCCAAGGGTCAACTATAGCCTCTATTAAATTCTCATTGGAAAACGTTGTTTTACTTTCGTCACACTTTTACTCGCGCGTGGGTTCCCATTCGCCTCGATTCTCTTTCCCTTTTCTCCCTCCCTTGTAGTGCCTCTACCTTCCGCTCATGTTCCTCACTCGTTCGTGTACATTTATACGATTATGATACTCTATACGACATAGAAACAACTATCAACTTATTCTCAAAACTATGTTCATTTAGATAACTGTAATATAATTTTGCAACTCAAACGCACTTTCTTGCGTCAGAAAAATATGAAATCAGCTGATTAAAGCATTTGGCTACTCTCCGATCTTTCTTCATCGCTCCTATATATCTGTGTATTACCAATGTCCTTCTGTTTGGCGTACAAAAAACAGATGTTATCAAGCTCTTTAAATCTTATACATGCTTATAAAATATTTTCATTAATTTTATCATTATTCTCTATACGACAATTTGTCTTTATATATAGATACTAAACACTCACATTACTCACACAGTCATAAAATATATTAAAAAGCAGATAAACAATCGGGAAGTAACAACTCGTCATCATTGGCTCAGCAAGTGAGTCAATTTTCTTATAACATAAACTAACAGAAAAGTACTATTATGTGATGCATTTACTATTTTATTTTATACGACCGATTGTTTTATTTGATCTTCAGGATCAATGAAAGATAATAAATAAATGTCATTTGTGTGAAATGTCCTAGATAAATATGATTTAATTTACAATGATGCGTGCAATAGAATCAGTTACTATCGGATAGAGACATTTACATTTCTCAGGTTTTCGAGTAATTAATTTCTTTAAATAATATTTTTGACGAAGTTGAACAAAAAAAAAAATAACAATGATTTTATCATGTTTGATTTTTCAATGATAATTTTGATATAAAAACAAATTCATCAGTGTTTTAATTGAAAAAATAAAATAATTATTGAACACTCAGAATAAAAACGAAATGATATCAATTTTGATGTGGAATTGTCAAGAGAATGAGGACATTTCATAAAACAAAAATTATTATTTTTAGAAAGACATTTATGAAAATGATAGTAGTTGACGTTAATTCATAAAATAATTTAAGCACTAATTATTACTATGATTTTATCTATCATAATATATTAATATTTATGAGAAATTGAAAAAAAAATGATAGTAAATAAGTAGCCTAAGAATCTTGGCTGATTATAAAAGAATAAAGAGTAATCATCACAAAAAAAAACTTATGAACAAAAAAAAATAAGTAAAACTTTTTATCAATTGTCAACAGTTTCTCTATTGCTTAATCTTAATTATGAACTAGAACTGCCCGAAATTTATATCATGTTTGAAATACATAAAATTATGACCTTGATAATAAAATTGAAATTATCCAGGCTAGTTGTGTCCTTCATCTCAACGAATATGTTATTTTACAGTCCACATATTGACAAGCAAGTAATATCTATCTCATCGTCCTTCGTACAACCTTTGTTTCATCGCTTGGTTGCTTTAAACTCGTACAAATATAGTTTTAAATATTTACGTCACACTTTTCTCAATCAATTAACTGCAACAGTGTCTTAATGTACATACTAAAATATGTTGAATAAAATAGAAGTACTATTTCTTTTTGAATACAATAAATATGAACTACGTGCACGTGTGGTGAGTTGAAATTGTAATTTATTGAGTAGAGAAGCTTTGGACAATTACCAAAGATTTTTGCTTTGTCTCTGATCAGAGAAAGAAATAAAAATTACTCTTAGAAATAAATGGAGTAGTTGGAAATTTCATTCATTCCAAAACTGTCTTCCAAGAATGTGACTCACATATATTTACTATTGAGTTGTAATAAGTGTGAACTAATTAGAGTAATGTTGAGTCTTTTGTGGTATTTTATTTTTTTATAAATATAAATTTTATTACGTAAATGTTTTTTCATTTCTTATATATCAAATATATAATTTTGTTATAAAAAAATTTTTAAGTAATTCTATTTCAAATGAATAATATTTTAATTATATTTTAGTGGAATTTTATATAGATCAATTTAGTTATCAAAGGTACTTGTTTTCTTTTCAAACAATATTTCATTGTTTACGAACAATAACTGCCCAAAAAATGTATTGGTCATGCAATGATTCACATAAACTTAATCTTGTATGATAATAGTTTAAAGTCTTAATTCGTTTTTATTTTAGGCTTAGTATTGTTTGTTTCATACTTAGCATGACAGTTATTAAACGTAGGTACATATTCCTTTTGGAAATTCCTCAAAATGATTGTAAAGGATAGGTCATTGTTCCCCACCCGTATTTTTCGCACCAGGTGTTCAATGAGTGAACCTTGGTGACAGGTCAAGACCAAAGTCACATTCATACTGAGAAAGCCGAAGACTTTTGTAATAGGTGACTAGCCCGTATCATTATATAGCAGCAATTATTTTTCAGGAAAATTGAGAATCACAATTCCCTAGGTATAAACTTTTATGATATCTTTGAGAATTGAATAGTGGAAATTTCGAATTAACAGGAACAAAGAAAAATAAAGCCCATCAAAGAGTCTTTGTCAGAACTATGAGTAATTTATCATTGCAAATTATATCAAGTATTTGGTAGTCTGACATAGAAATGTTAACATGTAAAAATCTTTTGTTTAGTATGCTATTACCTAGAATTACTATACATTAGTATAAGTTACTTTATTACTTGGGTTTGCCAGTCTTCACTTATAGCGTCAAGCATACGAAGCCCTGAAAAACGACTTTGGAGGCCATGTGACAGCGCACGACACACACTGCGCATGAATTTCATTCATTTGAATATTCACCAACGCCACCTCGATTTCCTATTGCAATAATAACCTTTATTTAAAGGGCTACCTATATCTAAAAGAAATATATCCACCAACTTGTTTTTATTTTCCCTTAATCATCTCTGTCTGTATTTTATCAATGAGTTTATCATTTCATCTTGCACTATAATTTGTATTACTTCAATAATAATTTCAATCATTCTTTAGTTTATATAAAGGGGAAAAATACTTTAAAAATGAAAACTTTTCCATCATGATAAAGATATCATATTATAAGCAACAAATTTAATTTAGATATTAATAAAATGAAATAGTATGGTAAAGGTTTTATTTTGTTTAAAAGAAAAATTAATTTTGATGAATATTTAAATTTAATTAATAATAGAAGATTAGTCATAATCCGCTGACGCCATTTTGAAGTTTGAAGGTAATTTTAAATTTCTAGGCGTGTTTTCATTGTTAATAAAGATACAGAATAATTTATTTTTAATAAACAAAAATCTTACAATTAGTTTTTTTGGGGAAATTGTTTAAGGTTCGTGACCTACCAAGGTAAAAGTAACGGGTCTTTATGCAATATTTCGTGTAAATAAGCCTTATAAAATCGCGCACATGAGAATAAAGCCAAAGTCCGTGTGGCACGATCGCAGCGATCGCCATCATGAAAACATTCGGCCGTCGTCGTCGTTGTCGTTATCATCGTTGTTCCTCCTCCGTCCTTGTGGGCTCTTCGGGATTCAACTAAATATCGAACGGCTTTTGGACACGACGACGGCGGCTTCGTGATACGTGACTTTAAGTAATTTTAATAAGTCAAATAAATAATAATAAAATTAGTTTTACTGTGGCCACGTTCAATTGTGTGTATGAAGGTGAAGTAAGGCAAGTGAGTTGGAGACGTAAAGATTTGCCGCGGGGAAATCCTCGTTTTGTTAAGCCAATACAATTACACTAAAGTGTGAGTAAGAAAGAGTGATACGTAAGAAAGAAAGAAAGAAAGATCGAGAGAGTATGAGACTATACTAACTATACGACAAGTAAGCTTTAGTAAATGGTGTGCGTGTATGTTCTTCCGCGATACAGACACGGAGTCCACTTAAATGCCTCAAAGACACTCTTACTCCATGTTGTGCATTGGTTGCAACACGATTGCGTGCTGGAAAGTGAGTGATATCGTCCTACAATATTTACCTATATCTTGATGTCATAAGTTCTTTTTTGGTTATAAAATTTTTTCGACAAATAGCTCTGTTCTCTTGGTAAAAAAGCAAAAGATTGACAGGGTGTAAGGGAGAGGGTAATACGTGAAAAAATTGAAGAAAAAAGGTGTATGATCCCACTACATGTCTTAGCTTTTTCTGTCAACACGTCAACTTTCTTTATCTCCCTCTCTCTCTCCCCTCTACTTTTCTCGCTTTCTATGATAAATCTCTCAGTGTTGGTTGAAAAAATTCATATCAGTCTTATTAACTGCCACAAGTTAGTTAAAAAATAAATCATGTTTTATTTTATCTGTTCTGCAACATGACTTTTGGCCGAGGCCCCCAAGACTACACATCTTCGGGGACACTTACAGTCAAAAGTAATAAAATTCATCGTTAAACATTTTATGAATAGCCTTTAAGCAATATATTTACTCTAAAATAATAAATTAATTTCTTTTTTCATATGTTTTCAGGTAAACGTGTGGTAACCGCCAATTGTGGATTAATTGGCAACCAGATTTTGCGAAATTTCAGCGAATAAAACTGATTTACTGCAACAATTTTCTGTTAAACGTGTTAGTGAATCAATAAATAAACTAAATTTATAAAAATAAAAAATTTATAATTAAACAAAATTTTCACCAAGAAAGAAAGTTTAAAACTAAAAACAAAAATGGAGCGTGAGTCAAATCCAATGCAAGCTCTGTGTCGTAGTGGTTGTGGATTCTATGGCTCTCCTGCTACCGATGGCCTTTGCTCTCTTTGTTTTAAAGAAAACCTTAAGAAGAAACAACAACCTCCAGTATCTGCAGCTACTGTATCAGCTTCACAAACCGTTTCTGGTAACGCTGGTACGTTGCAAAGCGGTTTCAGCAGTCCTGCGTCCACAGGAACAACTGCCCAGCCTACCATTCCTACAATTCCACAAACTACAACAGATTTATCTAGTTCCAAAGAGGTAAATAATTTTGAAATAAAATTTTCAATTCTTTTATTTAGATGGATAGAAAAAAAGAAAAGGCGAGTATTTCATTAGAGATGATGAAAAAAAAAATTAATATCAAGTCAGAAATGAAAAAGAATATTCAACATTTTATTTGAATGAGAAAATTCTTGAAAATGAAAGTGATTCAATTGAAAAATTACTGTAAGATGTTCACATGGTATGATTGTTCATTCTCATTTGAATAAAAAACCATGAAAAAGTATGTTACAATGAAACGTCATATAATAAAGTAGAATTAGTTAAAGATCATATGCAATAATTCGAAATACTGTTAAATATTATTCAGCAAAAATTTAAATTAATTCTATATATCAAATGTAAGATATTGTTGTCATGGTATCCTAAATAACAATTTAGTAATGGATCAAAATTATAGTAAATTATGGCCTCTGGTCATGGTTTATCGTCTGATAAAAAAGTAGTAAATGTTAATTATTTAGTCTATATTATTTCAGTTAAGTGAAAAATTGTAAAATGTCTACGAAGTGTCGATAAACGAACTTGTGTTGAAATAAATAACAAAATTTGACATTACTATTAATGATTGAAGCATTTTAACTCAAATGAAACTTACCAATTTAATAATCTTAATTAGACAATTATTAACTGATAACAAATATGATATAACCGTTTGTGTGAATATTATGAAGAATTGCAATACTTATTAATGTAATTTAATAAATCACAGGTTAACAGGGACGAACAGGAAGCTGAAGTAGGCGCTAGCAGTGGGGCGGCTGAAGGATCGGTAAGCAGTGTTGATACGGATGACTGCTTTGATGGGAAAGAGACTGACAAAGAATTCAAAAAGAAGAAAAATCGTTGTGTTATTTGTCGCAAGAAAGTCGGATTAACTGGTAAGCTCAACAAATGAATATTAATTAGTAAATTATATAAGTTTTTATTCAAATATTAATTTAAGCAGATGAAAGTTAAATAACATTTTTATTAACGATAAATTTTACTTCAATGTTACTAGGATTCGAATGTCGTTGTGGCGGACTCTTCTGCTCTGTGCATCGATACAGTGACAAGCACGATTGCAAGTTTGACTACAGAGAAATGGGCGCTCGAGAAATTCGACGTAATAATCCAGTTGTTGTTGGTGAAAAAGTGCAAAAAATTTGAACTATTTAGTGCGTAGTCGTTGGGAAAATGGTTATAACTATATAAACAAAACAAAAACAAAATATTAAAAAAACATGAAAAAACGAGATAAATTATCTGGCAGCTGATTGCACATCGGGAAATTGAAGAATATAAGTAAAATGAAAAAGAATGATTGTAATACATGAGAAATTGATTGTATGATGAGTGAATGATGTCCAACAATAATGATTGAAAAAATATATAATCTGCGAATTTGGACAAGAATAGAGATACAAAATAATAAAAATCTATATAAATAAATGAATGAATGAATAAATGTTATAAAAATATGATGGGTGTCAGTGCCATGTCAGATTATCATCTAGTGCGTTCCAATTACAAAATGAAAAAATCTGGTTACTAACTGCTGCCAGCTAACTATTATCTACCTACTATCTTTATAATTATTACAATTTATTCTAATTATCATTCTATGTATTGTTTATTAATTTACTAAAATGCAAAATTTGCTGAAAACAGCACGAAATAAAGAAACTGGTAAAGTAGATTTTAAATTCCTGGTGCAGTCAGTCAGTCAGAAGTTAATCTTGTTAAAGGCAGTCGATTTATCCACAAAGGAGAATCGTTCTACGCGCGAATAATGTTTTTTTCCTGTATCAATTATTATAATTATTATTATTAATATTATTATATTATATTATATTATTATATTATTATTTTTTGTTTCTATATTGAGCAAAGGGAGTGTTGTTTAGGCAATGACTGACGTTGATGGGTGATCACAATTCTAGGTTAATTAGTAGTCTAATAACTATTAAGTATATTAGCCGATTGATTCATAAATAATGCAATGAAGTATAAGTAGTACTGTGTGTTAATGTCCAATCTCACGAGAATATAACGAGCATTATTACTCATTAAACACTGTTTGAAATTTACGTTGGGGATACTTATTTACGCGAGTTTTAAATAAATTTGTTTTTTTTTTTTTTTTCGTTAATATGAAAACAAAAAAATATAAAAAATGTTTACGAGAAACACTCAGTAGATTATAATATGTTTTAACATACGGTTGCTTTCTAGAAAAATTTATCGAAACTTTTTCAATTTTTTAAAGAGATCATTCAAATACTTATTTTTTCTTCTTTGGCTTTGGTATTTTAAAATAAGTTCTTATATAGTAACAAAAAATTTATTTGCGATTTAATTATTGAGATCTACATGTTCTGCCCACGATCTGTAGAATACTACCGACCACGACAACACACGAAAACTTATCAATTATAAAAATTGACAGTCTTTTATTCAATTTATTATTGCTGAGCAAGAATATGCAAATAAAAGAGTAATAAAATATATATCATTTTAATTTCATCATATTGATGAACTTGGTTGATCTAATAAAAATATTAAAAATAATTTCAAACGTGTGACGATAAATAATTTAAATACTATGGCAGTTGGTTTTTTATGTTTAAAATTTGTAAAACTAACTGAAAGTAGCTCTAATTAATAATGTAAATGAAGATCGTGGACGGAGTACTTATATTTTTTCGCTAAGTAGATTCGTTGTTGCTTTAAATGTTTTTTCTCGCATAGGTAAATATTATTATTAAAAGGTGAAAAAGAGTCGTTGCTAATTTTGTACATTTTATTCTTTAAGAAGCAATGACTCAAGTAACCAATCGGTTGATTTTTATTTCTTTTATTACCAACGTTCTCTTTAAACAAAAAAAATAATGAATTAAAAGATATTTCGTTAATGAATTAATGATTGAATAAATATACATTTACATATATTAATGTCATTTAAAACTAATATTTTTAAAATCTATGCTTCTTAAGTTGATCTCCTGTGTTGAAATTCCAGATTTTTGGCAGACACTCGTATAAATAAAAATTATATTTCCTGTCAATTATTTTTTTACAATCTTAAATATTTTTCTCAATGTCTTCCTGTTGAATATTGATTTTATTTCCTTCGGCAATAATTTTTATGTTAATTATTATGGTGGTAATCTTGGTTAGTTGACGTTCTTACCTATTATAACTAATTAACATACGAAATATAATTACTTATGTACATAGGCTATATACTTACGGAAAAATATTATTATATACAAATTTCATTTCTAAAACATTTTTTTAATGCTAAAATTAATAATTTCATTAGAAAAATAATAACAAGATATTTATATTTGACAAACTTAGGTTTAGAGTTTTTTGATAGATTAATAATTAATTAAATAAATTGCAATAATATTTCGTCCCAATTCTAACTTCTGTGTAAAGCTTAGAAACATTTCTGGCGAATACGAGGGAAAAGTTGAAAAACTTGGATATAAATAATTATAATAAAATAATAAAGTGTAAAAATATACACACATCATTAATCAGGCCTTTACCTTATTTTAGGCATAGCATATTTTTCTAATATATATCACACTATCGATTTAATCTTGTTCAACAAGAATAATCGACGTAAAATGAGTAAATGTAGTGTGAAAAATAATTATGAATGTGAACTAATTGAATTTAGAAAAAAATACGTGAAAATGGATATATATAAATGTGATTAAAGAAAAATAATTTAAATGTATGATAGGAAAGTGATTAATTAAAATTAATGACATGTTAATATAAAAAACGGACGTACCGATGCTTGTAATGAAGAAATTGAAATTAGTAAAATATAAATTCAACAAGTAGGAAAATTATAATGGTCAAATTTTTTCTTATTATTAAAAAATGATAAAATAAAAAAAATGACAGATATTTTTTCTTTATTTTTTTCTTGATAAAATTGCTACAAGAAACTAAAGAATATTTTCGTAGCACTAATAATGTAATAACAAATTTAATTCTATTGTTACCAATGAGATTAGATTTCTTAAGCGTAAGTTGATCACAATACGAGTGTCGTTAAGTAACCGCAGCTAATGAAATATTAAAGCCAAGGAAATTGACGTTAAGTGCACTTGATATAATAGCGCAAAAGGTAATAAGAATAAATTTTCATATAGTATTTATCCCTAAAAATTTTTAAATACTTTATACAATAATAATTAATTTTTATTGGCTATTAATTATTATCGTCATTGCTTTAATATATAACATTTGCTAACGATAACTATTATAATCAATCTTTTTTAAATTTTTTGTAATTTTTATTATCATTCGCAACTTTGAAGCTTAACGTCAAAGACATGCAAAAGAACACTAGCTAATATGAACTCTTTCTTTATTTAATGACTAGTATTCGTTTTTAACGTGACGACGATTAGAAGTAACGCATGAAGTATTTGAAAAATATTTATGAAGAGTTCGAACTTGATGAATTATTGGTTGTTCACTTTTTGGCAGATTATGAACAGCTAAAGGTGGTGTGGAAGCGGGTGTAAGTACGCCGAGATCATTATCACATTCGAGTTCAGTCTCAGTAAGGATCGATCGTTCCGATTTAATATACCCATGATCTTCGATGGCCGATATTTTACTTTTTGATATTTTATTTAATGGGTTTTTAGAATTTTTAGAACTTAAATTATCTAATATCGTAATATTTTCATTTTCATTTCCAGTCTTTGATGATTTGATTAGCATTGATTTTATTATACTCCCAGTTCCCGAGCTATGCTGGATTGCTGCATGGTTTTTTAAACCATAAGTTGTCTTGTAACTCTTACCACAGGAGCATTTAAAAGCCTTGTGTATCCTAGGATAATTATATATTAATATTTATATTCAACTAAATAAATTTAATTCATAGATTGTTTATTGACGATGGGACAAAAATTTAAAGAAAAAATAAACGTACTTGCCATCATTTTTATGACCATTTTTTGAATGATACTTAATCCCATTAACGTTTTTGTAGCGCTTTTTACATCCAGGTACTGGACAAGCAAAGGGCTTGTTGGTATGATTATTCTGAGTTGTGATAGTTTGATTGACAACCCTGAGAATAAGAAGTGTATAATCGAGTGGCAGGTGATTTTTCTTCCTAAGTAAGCGCTCCACTATGCGCCCCAGTACCTGCTGCCGTATCGTAGAATGTAGTCCGCCGAAAATTCCTCGGATGTGGTCCACGAATCATTGCTATCCTCTGGTTCACTCGACAAGTCATCTTCCTCTTCTACCTCACTTCCTACAGTAACAAATATCTCTTATTAGAAACGTTCAGTTTTTATTTTTTTAACGTTGAAATTTTTATTTTATTACTTAGATTCTTGTAAATTCTACCTGGCGGTGTAGAGTTTTTGTTGCGACTCGGTGACAAATTCAATGTAGTCTTGACGTGTTTTACAGCTTCTTGCCTAGCAGCATCGGTGAGAAATCGAAGAGCATAACTTAAGGGAATACATGGTGGCTGTTGTTGTTCTGACTGTTCAATAACTAGAGGATCGTAATCTAAAATATATGTTTGAAGAAAAAATCATAAAGATTTTAATTCACCAAATGTATTATTGAGTAACTAGATAATTAAATAATATATTAATGAAAATTGTTAGGGTTGTCATCCTTTTGTTCTGTTTAAAATAATTTTTTTTTAAAAACACTCAATAGTCAAATTTGCCCAGATAACCTCAATCAGGATATCAGATAACCTCAAAAATAAAAAAAGTAATTAATTGATGAGGAGACTTATAAAACATAATTTTACCAATATGTGTTTCTTCTATATGTTGAATTAAATGTCCGAGACTCTTGAATGTTAAGCCACAAGCATTAAATTTACAAACGTTCAACATAAATACAGCCATATCAGTTAGAAGGTGAAGGTGACTAGAGTCGAGTAAGAGCTTGATGAAAGCTTTTTCAGTTTTATAAGCCTAACTAATATAAAGTATTTTAGGTTTTTTTTTATATGTAAATGAATTTTCAGACTCATTAATTAATTAGATTAAATTGTTTTCGTCCAAACTATTCGATCTTCTAATGTTAAAAAAGTATTTTCTTTGACTTTAAAATAGTTGACGAAAATTGTTCGGCTAAATTCGGTTGGTCGATAGAGGAAGTCAGGGTGTGGTAAGTGGTGATTGCACTACGGCACGAAAATCTTTATATTCCGTTCACGACGGGATCATCGATTGGTTGAGACGCAGTTCATTCGTTCCATCGGTTACTCACCAATTCAACATTCCGAACGCCGGGTTGCAACTCCTCTTCTTCGACACTGTTCTTTGGTAAGTCCGAGCGCCTGTTCTCTTGGCAAGTGAGTAAAATCTCGTCTAAAAATTTGGTTTTTATGATAATTGTCAGTGAATAGTAGTTTCAAATAAATTATTAATTTAAATTTAGATATTCTACAACATGGCTTGCTATATTTCATATTAAAATCATCATTTATTTTGCACTGTGACCGTAGCGGAAATACCTTCGGAGAATCGGCCATTTTATAGTGTGCCGACAATTCGCGTGTTCGTCATCAATTTTTATTATTATGCCTGTCTTTTATCCTCATTTACACTATTATCTAATGAACTTTTAATTCAATAATTTTAGTCATTTTCGTTCACGTGAAATCAGTACATCATTACGTAATCTATTGAGCTCAAAGACATTCATGTTCAGTCAGTGTTTAATAGTTAAAGATTAGGGAATCTCGAGTAGTTAAGTCAACTACCCCGGTATAATACATTTTATTTTAACAACTTTATAATTATTCTAGGCATTTGAGTCGGTAGACCTCACAAAAAAAACTTAACAAAATGTTCGCCTGTACTCGATTCATCGCTCCAGTTGCCAGATCTGCTGTGAGTACAAAATCATGTTACCTTTCATCGAATTTTCGTGTCGGCAACATGAGTTACATAATAGGCTTGACATGAAAGCAATTTTCATTTTTTTCATTTAGTTGGTTGGCAGTAGCAGGAATTACATTCGTCCTCTTAGCAGTGCTGTGATCAACCAAAGTCAATCCTTACAGGAGAGTCAAAAACAGACTCCAGTCAGTTTGGTAAGTATCATGAACTTGATCCATTGCATAATGAACCTAAGTTATATAATTCTTTTTCGTTTATCTATTTTACGTGATTTTCAATTAATAAGTTAATAGTGATAAAAATATTTTTGACTTGTTTTGTTAACACATGAAAATTTCTTTCTTAAGACCTTTTAACTTCTGCTAAAATCGATAGCTCTCACGTAACAAGAACTCATTCAAAATTGCTTATTTAAAAAAAGATTATTGGATTCAGTCATTAAAGAATATGAATTTACTTTTTATTGAATTAAACTTAATTAATCGATTTAAATATTTCACTTTTCCATTATTATTGAATAGCTTTTATTATCTGTTTTAGTCCCCCATAGTTCGCAGCTTCCAGACTTCCACGATCAGTCGTGACATCGATTCAGCTGCCAAATTTATTGGCGCTGGCGCTGCAACAGTTGGAGTAGCTGGATCCGGTGAGCAATCATTTTTTATATTAATTAATATCTCTTATTTTAATTCAAAATTATTAATATGATAATATCGATTAAATCTTACATACATATTATGCAACAATTATATAATCCAATCATTTCATTCAAATCTCTCTATTATTTTCTTTACCTGATTTTTTTAGGCATTGGTGTTGGAATAGTTTTTGGATCCTTAATACTTGGTTATGCCCGAAATCCTTCCCTAAAACAACAAGTTTTTTCCTATGCAGTCCTTGGTTTTGCTTTGTCTGAAGCTTTGGGTCTTTTCTGTATCATGATGGCTTTTATTTTACTTTTTGCATTCTAATCTATTGATATCCTGCATGGAGTTATTTACTATCATAAACTTTATATAATAAACGAAATTCACAAAGTCATTTTTCCTTTTAATTATTATTTATAAAACATTACATATACTATGGAATATTTATATTAGATAAGTTAATTAAAACATTAATCGTTCAAGAGAAATAAATATAATTTATGTATTTTTTAGGTGCCGGAATTGGATCTGTGTTTGGATCATTGATTATTGGATATGCAAGAAATCCATCATTGAAACAGCAATTGTTCTCATACGCCATCTTAGGTTTTGCCCTGTCTGAAGCCATGGGTCTCTTCTGTCTTATGATGGCTTTCTTACTTCTATTCGCCTTCTAAGCCACAAATCCTCCATAACGAATTACCAATAGTTTTAGTGCGTCACTGCCAAGGCAGCTTCATCTGGCTTGAAATAATAGTAAGAAGAAAGCTGTCTATGGTTCACGGGAGCCCATGAAATTATTAAGGATGCCGATGACTCTTGGCACTGGTTGGAGCGCGACGGTGCGACAGTTTAATATGTAACATAACAAAATACGGGGCTGTAAACAGATAAATTATGTTAAATAATAACATCGTCATAAATCCCATCCAGTGGCTCATAATTATTTCATGGCCTACCGACTCATGTAGCGTAACTCACATTGTTATAAAGTAATTGAACTTCAATGTAATGAAAAATCGAATAGAGGATTATTGAAAAATGTTATCATCAGCCTCACAAAATGCATAGTCCATTCAATGTGCAAATGCACGTGCGCGCCCAAACTATTTCAATTATAATCTATTTGAAAATATAATTTCACTTATGCGTTGTACGGTTCTCGTGACAATTAATGAAATAAAATACAGTTCATTTGTTATTTGAAACGATTCATCATTGTTAAATCGTCGGTATGCATGTTTGCAGTAACTGCAAAGAACATGTACAGTAATGTCGAATAAACATCCATGTCGTGCGATAAACAATCATTTGTTTCACATCTTTTAATTACTCTATTAATATGTTCTTTATTAATGATTCCTATAAAATATCATTTATTAACGTTAAAATTGTTTAATATCTTACATCATTATTTCTTTTCGATACATTGTTTGGTTTGTTATATTCTGATTTTCTTTTTTTTTTGAATATTCTATTTAATGTAAAAAAAATTGAAACTTAAATCAAATACATCATAGAATTGATCAAAATTGCCATAAAGAATTCAATTCACATTTATTTTTATTATTGAAATATTTGATGATGATGAGAGAGTTTTTATAATAATAGAAACAATTATTTTTATTCTTTAAATATTTTATTTATTCATGATTAAAGAGTTAAAAAATAACAATCGATTAACAAATCTGGACACTGTATGTGAAGGAAATCAAAAAATTGAACTTAATTTTTTTTAATTTAGTTTGATTTGATTATTTAAATAGTTGCTTAAAATAACCAATCTTACAAATGATTAAAAAGTAAAATATATCTTAATTTTTAAATAATTCTAAAATGTTATAATTAACATCAATAGTCAAAAATTTCACCATAAAGAAAGTGGTAGTTGGAAGTGTTTTTATTACGAGCTATTTTTACAGGATTTCAATAGGCATAAATATAATGTATTATTAAGAAATGTTTCTACAACTGATTTGTAGTATGATTTAAATTAAGTTGTTGCGGGTCGTGCAGAAACAGGTTCGCCGATGCTGTTGGACGGTAGAACATTGAGTTGTTGAAGTAGAACTTCTCGTTCTCGAAGACTAGCCCAAGCTTTTTCTTGCTCTTTTTTTGTCAAAGGTACTTTTCTTTGTTTCGCCATAATCAATTTATTATAATGTTCTACAACTTCATTATCTACTATACTGATTTTTCGCTTGAGAGCTTGGCGTTTGCTCTCTTCTTGTGCAAGATTTAATAATCTTTTTAACTGAGCTACATTATGACTAGATAACGTCATTAAGTCTTGCTGACATCTCTTTATTTCAGCAAGAATTTCGTCGTCTTCTTCTTTCTTTCTGTGGGTGTCTGGTTCTAAAATACCTTGTTCTACTAGTTCCTTATGCATTCTCATTTCTAAATTCATTGAATTTTGAATAGTCAGATCACGAAGTACTGGAGATGCATCACCATCTCTAAACAATTTATTATCAGCATTATTATTAGCAACATAAACGTTCTCTTCAAGTAAAGCAGAAACTAAACGTTGTGTTAGAGGCCCTGCTATTCCTGAAGCTTTTTTATCAACTTTAGCCATTAACGAAGATACATCTGTTTTACTTTTTTTTTTATCCTTACTCGGATTTCCTGCTTCATCATCTTGAAGTAAATCATTATGTGCCCAAGTATAACTATAATGTCTTCCGAGAGGAGGAATTTTTTTAAATTCTCCTAAATCGGAATGAGTTGCTATCAACTCTTCCAGTAATTTAATGTCATCTGGCATGATATCAGCACAATAGGGATCAACAGAAGCCCAAAATTTATTAGTTGTATCATTTTTAGGTAATAGAAGCTTTGGTATATCTGTTTTAGATCCTTCAACTCTGACAATTTCATGAGGATTTGGTACTATTTGATTATTAGAATTTCCTGCAACTTTAGCTTTCAATAGCTTAGTTGAAAGAGGTGAATGAGTTTTTAAATAACTATCCTTGCCTCTGAGTTTCTCATCTCTCAATTTTTTGTCAAAAGATAAACCTTTGCCACTTTTAGATCGTTTATCTCGTCTTTCTTCGGCTGATGATAAACATTGAATTTCTTCTTGTAGTAAACGAGTTCTAACAACAACTGATGAAAGTAGAGTTTCTAATTCTAGCTGAAGCGTATCCAAGTCTTCCATTCCAACGCTATCTTCATTGGTACGTTGAAGAACACTTGTATATCTTGGTAATAATTTACTGTTATCAGTAGTTTTAATAACTGGGATTGAAAGCGATAAATCTGTAGCGTCAGAACTAGTGTCTGGAGTTTGTACTGGAGTTTGAGAAGATTTATTTCCTTCACGCATCTTTACGGGCGTCTTTTTAGAGTTGAGTTTTCCTTTTCCTGACATATTTTGTCCGTTTATATTTTCATAATCCGAAATATTCAACAAATTTCAACTAAAAATGTATATTTCACAAATAGAAGTGGACATAAAAAATACATTTACGTGCTTGAAACATAATAAAAGAAAACATTTAATAACAAAATATTAATCACAGCTGTGCAAAGCAGCTGTTTTCTCAAATTGAGGGTTAGGTTACACCATACAAATGAACTATACTATATGTATATGTATTGACAGAGTAAACACAAACTTATTGTCGAAAAAAATTCTACAAATATTAAACTAACAATTTAATATTTAAAGTATAAAAATAATTATAAAAATAAATAAAGTTTTTACAATTGTTTATTAATAAATGAATAATAATTAAAACAAAGCTTTTATGAGAAAACTTTCTACAGTCATTACTTGAAGTATTGCAAAACAAAAACTCCCCCTACGACTGAATGCGCCATCTTCTGGACCAACAACAAATATCGTTGTACACTGACAGAAATATTTTCCGGTGGCGAATTATAGAATTTACTTGTCCCCAGTATAAAAGTGATAGGTAAAAAAGTTTCGGAATGCAGGTAAAGAAAGTACCTGGAATCAGTAAAACTTCATTTTAAAATGATTAAAAAAAAATACTGAGTCTAAATACAGAATATACCACTCCTTAGTAGACTACAAGCGGTTGAAGAAGTAAAAAGTATACAAGTTTTATGAAAATAAAGTACTTGTATCTAAATACAGAGAAGAGAGACCACCATAGAAGTCCAATGCTGTGTTAAAAATCCGGACGGAGTTTCGGTCAACATGTCGGTATTTTGGGTCAACATGTCGGTAATCTCAGGTCACAACATAGCAGCTTCTGTGAACCCAACACATGATGGCGCTGCTCCGAATTATTTGAGCCACGCCTCTCAATCTAAGAGAGAGACAAGATTTGTGTTCTCCTTTACTCTCATTGTGAATATCCCAATGCAGTTAAATTCCTAACACAAGCTCACGTCCCTCAAATAAAAAGAAAATCGGACTCAGATTGAGTGACTGTATTTATAGCCACTCATTTGTAGGGAATTGAATTCTCTATCAAATGAAATATATTTTTTTTGCATCTATTGTTTATAACAAAAAAAAAAGCAAATTAAATTTATTGATGAGAACGAAGAGAATTCAATCCTCGCTAATGAGTGGCGACATTTGCTATCATAGTAGTTTTAAAAAATCATTTTTTTTAATATTAAAGAATGATAAAAAATTAAATGAAGGACCCGCACTTATGCCAGTGGAACTTTTTTCTAAGTCCTCAATCCCCCGAATGTGGCAGTGGAAGTTCCAGTGGCATAAATGCGGGTCCTTCATTCAATTTTTCATGCCTCTTTTATTTCGAAAGAAATGTTTTATAGAACTACTATGATAGCAAATATAGCCACTCATTAGCGAGGATTAAATGCTCTTTGTTTTTCTAATGTAATTTTTTTTTGCTTTTTTTTTGTTATAAACAATAAAAAAAAATTGCGAAAAAAAAAATATTTTATTTAATAGAGAATTCAATTCCCTACAAATGAGTGGCTATAAAAACGGTCACTCAATCTGAGTCCGATTTGCCTCACATTCGGGGGATTGAGAACTTGGAAAAAAGTTCCACTGGCATAAGTGCGGGTCCTTCATTTAAATTTTTATGCCACTTTCATATTAAAAAAAAAGCTATTTACTGGTTTTTTTATATGCCTGTAAGGTCGGGAAAAGATTCATTGTTTTTCATCGTATCTAACGAGATCCGAAACTAATTTTATTTCTCGCGCATGAAAGTAGAAATTATGAGGAATAAACTGGATTTTTAGTTCACAATTTGTAATGATGTTTACGTCATGAATACTTTCTAGTAATAAACTATCTGGGATGATAAATCCCTCTGAAAATGTTTACTGTTCGTGAGCTGTTTCCAAGCACCGAGGGATTAATTTTTTACGACCTATTGGAATTTTTTTATTACTGTGAGTAAGTTGCATTTACTTGTTTTCATGATTAATAATTTTTTACTTATCACGTAAACTAATCCTTCTAGTGTATTATGCGAATATGAATCATTACATCATTTGTAAAATGTATTTGACGGCCGAATTTCGTAGGGAAAACATACAACCTATTTAAGGACATGTCATAAACGATAATAAGCTGCGAAATATTCTAATCCTCTTTACAAGTAGATGCACAGTTCTCTGAGAAACATTTTTTTTTTTACAAATTTTTAAAGCAAGAGCCAGAGAAGATGATGACAGACGATAAGAATACATTTTAAGCCGGCAAACTGTAACGCGTAAAAAATGTCTGCAGACGGATCACACAATAAAACTCTCGTTTATATTATAAACGCGAACACATAAGTCTTCTGCTTTATTAAAATTTTCGTTATTTTTCCGTTGTTTTTTAAAATATCAGTCGAAAATAGAAATGACTAAAACATTGCGGAAATACTAATTATCAAGGCTAACAAATAGGAAAAGAAAGAATTCAGTGTATTTATTTCCCAGATAAAAATTCAAATAGCATAAATGCGGGTCCTTTATTTAACTTTTTATCATTCTTTAATATTAAAAAAAATGATTTTTTAAAACTACTATGATAGCAAATGTCGCCACTCATTAGCGAGGATTGAATTCTCTTCGTTCTCATCAATAAATTTAATTTGCTTTTTTTTTTGTTATAAACAATAGAAATGCAAAAAAAATATATTTCATTTGATAGAGAATTCAATTCCCTACAAATGAGTGGCTATAAATACAGTCACTCAATCTGAGTCCGATTTTCTTTTTATTTGAGGGACGTGAGCTTGTGTTAGGAATTTAACTGCATTGGGATATTCACAATGAGAGTAAAGGAGAACACAAATCTTGTCTCTCTCTTAGATTGAGAGGCGTGGCTCAAATAATTCGGAGCAGCGCCATCATGTGTTGGGTTCACAGAAGCTGCTATGTTGTGACCTGAGATTACCGACATGTTGACCCAAAATACCGACATGTTGACCGAAACTCCGTCCGGATTTTTAACACAGCATTGGACTTCTATGGTGGTCTCTCTTCTCTGGTGTAAGGGAATTTCTCCAAAATAGCCATTACGAATGTCTTGAGTCGCGCAATATTTGATTTTACACTGAAGAAAATGCAATGGTGCATAGAAAACGAAATGTTATTCCTCAAAATTCGACAATTTATAATCAATGAAAATGTTTATTCTTATTGTAATGTTACATCATAGATTATTTACAACGTTCATTTTTTAAATTTAAGTCAAGGACTTTTTACATAGGAATTGTTGGTAATATCTATTCACGAATTATCACGATAATTTTGCATCAAATGTACGTCATTTTCAAAGACAATATCTCGGTTGTACGAATAGAAAAATCTTTTACCATGCTCATACGTTGCTATCATAATCGCACAAGCTGGTGCTACTTTAATTAATCGAGGAATTAGACCAGTAAAAAGACCCTGTACTCCACTTTGTCTATAAATTCTTTTAATTATACTTATAGTATCACTGCTACGTCCGGGTTTATCTGCAATAAGTATTTTTAATAATTAATTCAAATACATTAATTATTTTTTTTTAATAAGAAAAATTGAAATTAAAAAAATCATAAAGAGTTGTGAATACCTGAATAAATCTCTCGTTCACCCATTTCGATTTGCCGATGAGTTTTAACTACATCGAAAGGAATTGTAATAAATGCCGCAATCTTCAATAAAAAAAAATCGTTAAAAAACACTCATAAGCAATAATGAATGAAAGAACAATATGCTCTGCATAAGAGAAAAATTATAAATACTTACAGAACCAGCTGTTGCACCTGCAAATAAATTAAAACTAAAAGTATGTTGAGTCTGTGGAACCATTTTCTTAATCGTTTCATAATTACACCAGTAAATGGCGCTAAAAGGTACATCACGAAATAAAGTAGAGCTCAATCCCATCCATAGCCCAGATACTCCACCATACTTGATTACAGTTTTTAAACCTTCACCAATTTCTATCAAAATCGATCAAATTTAATATTTATCTGTGTATATGCTCTTTCATCTTTAATAATTGATAATTTTCCTAAACAAAGATGAAATTACCTCGATAGCTCAATTTCTGGGATTGCATTTTAGTTCTAACCAATTCCAAAGGGCTTACTAATGTAGCTGCCCATACACGAGCTGTACTCCCAGCTAACATCGGTATCCAGAATGGTTGATCTTTTTTATTACTATTATTATCAGTGTTAAGTTTTGTATTGTAGTAATCCTATAAAAATATTATATTTAATTAAGGATTTGATGAAAATTATACAATATGGATAGTAAACTTTAGTTATTGTAATAATAATCCCAACGTAGGACTTTAAATTGATTTACCTTGATATGTATTCGTAATTGTTCATAAGAAACAAAATATACTATTGTAGCAGGTACAGCAAGTATAAGAGTTGGGCTTAAACCACTCCACAAAGAAAAAATTCCTTCTTTTTTTCCTATTTTTATCATTGCATCTATTGTGCCATTAAATTTTTCATTTTCTTTCAACCATGTGGGCATCTTACCATTACAAGGACAAAGATGATCCATTAAACCATTACAATATAAAAAACATTTATTGGACAACATTGCCTTTTGTTGAGCTTGTAAACGAGTTTTTACAACATCTAATGGTGTAACTGTAAAATGTATAATATTATTGTAACTTATTACTTAAAAAGTATTTCAGGAAGTCATGAAAAGTTTTATTTTTTAAACATTTTAGTAAATAATATACTTTATTATTAGTACATTAATAACGATTGAATGTTTTTATTAATGATATGAATATTGAATTCAATTATTAAAAAAATAATGATGTACATAAAATTGATTGCATCAGTTTTTGAAAATGACTTTACTAAAATTGTAGTCATATGATGTGATAAAAAAACTCAATAGATCAAATACTTACCAAATACTGAAGTAATTAATGCTCCAGTACAAGAAGCAATCATTTGTTGGTATGGTTTGATACGGAATTTCGGATCATCAAAGTCTATATCCAAATTTTTATTTAAGATACTCATTTTTTCTTAACCTGATTGGATGGCCGGTGTTTCTGAATACTGACAATACAATTGGCTCTTGAAACTGGAAATTATTTATCGACACGTGTAACAATTATAATTAATATCTTGCTTTGATAAAATAAAATTCATATTAAACAAATTTGAATGATGAAAAGTCTTTTTAATCGTTTTCTAAACAAATTAATAATTTGATAATGCCAATCACAACAAATACTCTTTTATTATTGTGTAACACACATGGCATTTCGGGCAATTCGGATTGATTCTTGATTCTACCACCTAAGTCAGCACATGCACGTCAGCTGACTCTAGTCTAGCAAAGTGCTGACCTCTTTAATTTTTCAATTGCTCAAAAAATTACAGGTTAAAACATCTGAATCAGATAAATAATAAGAATTGATTATAAATATAGATGTATCTTAAGAGTTCTGTATTTTATAAAATTATAGATATTGAACTAAGTAAGAATCAAAGTTAATAAAATTATATCAAAATGAGTAAAGACAGCAAACAGTAAGTATAACCTATGATTTTTGTTTGGTTATTTATTACTCATTTAATCGGATAAATTATAAGTAAATACATTAATATTATACACAAGTTGAAAGATATTATATTCGATAATTACGAATGTCGATCATTTATTTACAGATATGGCCTCATTTTATCAAAAAAGCCTCAATTATCAGCTCCAAAAGCAGGTAATATTTTTGGAGACGATGATGATTCTGAGAAAGAAGATGGAGTAAATTGGGTAAAAAAAGCTCTGAAAGCTGAAGGAGATAAAAATCGTGTAAAAAAACAAACTAAATTGAACATGCAAAAAGCTTTGAACCAAGATCCAACTATATATCAATATGATGAGATTTATGATGAAATAGAAAGAAAAAAAGATGAAGTTAAAGTTGTCGAAAAAAAGGAAGCAAAAAAGCCAAAATATATTCAAAATCTTCTTAAAGCTGCTGAAAGAAGAAAAAGAGAACAAGAACACAGAATTGAAAGAATGGTTCAAAAAGAGCGAGAAGCTGAAGGAGAACAGTACGCGGATAAAGAAAGTTTTGTTACATCCGCTTATAGAGCTAAGTTAGAAGAATTTAAGAAATTAGAAGAGGAAGAAGCAAGAATGGATAGATTAGAAGCCATAGGTGATGTGACTAAACAACCAGATATATCAGGGTTTTATAGACAATTGTACTCTCAAACAGTTGATAACAAACAAGATAATGATAGCGAAGATGCAAATAAACAATTAGAAGAGTCTGAAACCAGAAGCATTGATGAAGATGAAGACATCAATTCGTTTGATGGTTCTGATTCTTTTCCTGAAAAAAATTCGGAGTCAGAAGCTGAAAAAGTCAATCAAAGTACTATAAAAAGAAAAAATCGTAAAAAACTTACTTTGAAATCACAAAACATGCGACAATATAGAAAAAGAAATTTTGAAACATCAGAATCTGAATCAGATCCTGAAGAAGATAAAAATAGCAAAGATGACAATGATTACAAAAATGATTCTTATGATTCTTCTAAAGAACCAACTGATGTCAATCGATTAGAATCACTCTCTAAAAAAGCAAGATTATCAACAGAAAATGATCATGATGATGATAAACAGAAAAATATTGCAAAAGATTCAACTGAGTTTAAAGTATCAGAAAATAAAACTGATATAAAAACTCAGGCAAATGAATCAAAAAGTTCTGAAGAAAAAATTGAAGAGCCAAAAGAAGAAAAACCAAAAGTATCAATTTGGGAAAAAAGAACAGTCGGGCTTGTATTTGAAGCTGCTTTACAAAGATATTATGCCAGAAAAGCTATGCGATTATCTGGATCGTAAATTTTCTTTGTACTTGTAAATAATTGATGTTGAATAATAAGCTACATAATATTTCTTTTGTTAAATATTATTCTTTTAGTCATTTTTAAAATAAAAATATGTATTATGCATTTTTTAAAATCGTAGGATATAATAAAGTGATTTTTCTCAAAAATAATTATTTTTCCATTTAAAAAAAAATATGGAAACTTTATTTCTTCATTGATTTTTAAGTCGTTCAAACATAGTAATCACCAATCTATCAGATAAAAATGTTTATATTACAGAATCGATAACTACAACCAGTTAGGTCTGACTTGACGTCATGAATTTAAGTTTTCGGCAGCAACAGGAAAGTGTGTTACGTGGGTGATCAACAGCGTATGAATTGTATAGAGCCAGTTGTTATCAAGTTGCACTAGAGTAAAAAAGGACAGGAGAAAAGTCGAAAGTGAGAAAAAAGGATGTGCGGTATCAGGTCAGGTTAGATTTCTTTCTCCCCACTCAGCATCGAGCACAGACGTCACAAGCTGTTGAACACAGTGAGTTTATGGTGACGTCCATTGCGTTCATCGTAAACCGTGATATCAGGAGCACCAGAAAATTGCCGAGATGATAGCATAAATTGGTTTTTGTGTATTTATTTCTATTGAATTACGAAGATCGCAGTAGTCTAAGAAGGATCGTGATCAAGAATGGCATCCAAGTGCAATATATGTTTACTTTTATACACTTTTGTTGTTTTATCAAATGGATACATTTTGCGATCTTTACCAGAAACCAGGAAGTTGAACGAAGATTTTATACAACCATATTATACACATTATGAAGAACTTCAGAGATTATTCAACAGGCTGGAAGAACAGTATCCAAATTTAGCGAAAGTACATTCAATCGGAAAATCAGTAGAAGGCCGTGATCTCTTAGTTTTGGAAATTTCTGAAAATGTTCATAATCGAGCCTTGGGTGAACCCATGGTGAAATATGTTGCAAATATGCATGGTGATGAATCTGTTGGTCGAGAACTTATGATTTATTTAGCTCAGTATCTGCTAAAAAATTATAATATTGATGAGAGAGTTACAAAACTTGTAAACAACACAGACATTTTCATTATGCCCTCAATGAATCCAGATGGGTTTGAAAAATCAAAGGTAATAGACATTTTTTGTAGTTTTTATTTTAAGCACAGGGTTGTTTTATAAAAAAAAATCATTTATTTAATATTGATTTCAATAATAACTTTAATAACTGATCTATGTTTGCTTCATGATTTTGATTATTAATTGGAATATAAATATTTAAATTCTAGGAAGGGCTTTGTGAATCATTGGACGATTTTTCTGGAAGAGAAAATGCAAACCACGTAGATTTGAATCGTGATTTTCCTGATCAGTTTGTCAAATATCCTGATCAATATCTACGCAATGAAAATATTGGCAATGGAAGACAAAGCGAAACAATAGCTATGATGACGTGGATTGTAAATCATCCCTTCGTGTTATCGGGCAATTTTCATGGAGGTGCTGTTGTTGCCAGCTACCCTTACGATTCGGGGTATTATTTATATTTCATAAATATAACTTATATTGATTAAAATCAAGTTACACAATTTTTGATACATTTTAAATCCTTATCTTATCCATAAAAGTATCAGAAATTGTGCAATAATCTTAGACATGTCAATTGATATAAAAATTGAACAAAATAACATTACAACTACGATTCAGAGAATATTCTTATCAAAAATATATCACCATATTTCTTTTAAAAGTTAAAATATTCCCCTCATAAAATTCATATTCATACTATAAATAAATGTGACTAAGGAATTTTTACATTTATATTTTGTCAATAATTCCTACTGTAACTTTGAAAAGGTGTTTAATGCTCATAATGAAATCGATAAAATTTAGTGATTAAATAGATATAAATTTTTTATTTTCTTATATGTAATTTTATTTTATAAACAAAAGCAGTAATTATTGAATAATAATAAATTTTTGTTTAGAATACGCAATAATTGTTGTGAAGAAAGCCGATCTCCAGATGATAAACTATTCAAATATCTCGCCCACATTTATGCTGACAACCATCAAGTAATGCGAAATGGGGATGCTTGTAAACTTGATAAGTTTGATAAATCCGGAGGAATAATTAATGGTGCTTATTGGTAAAGTTACTTATTCATTAACTTTTTATGTTCAAATAATAATAATCATACTTATTCATAAAGCGATAAATTGAGTTTTACAATTGTCGATTGCTTTTTTAATTACAGGTATAAAGTCATTGGTGGCATGCAAGATTTCAATTATGCTCAGTCCAATGCTTTTGAAATAACTTTTGAATTGAGTTGTTGCAAATATCCAAATAGAACAGATTTACCTTCCCATTGGAACTTGAATAAAGAATCATTATTAAAGTACTTGGAACAAGCACATATTGGAATTAAAGGTATATTAATAATGTATACAAACATATTAGTAATAAATATTATAGGGAAAAATAATTGCTACTAACGGCAAATGTATATTGTAAAAACATATATTGTTACAGGTATTGTAGAAAATTCAGAAGGCGAAAGATTAGAAGATGCTAAAATACATGTTGAAGGCATAAATCATACAGTAAAAACAACAGTAGATGGAGAATATTGGAGACTTCTACTTCCTGGAGAATATATTGTTTATGCTACTGCTTGGAAGTAAGCTTAACTATTTTTTTTTGTATCCATTAGTTGAAAATTATTTCAGTCATTACATTTAATAATTGATAACTAGACATTATAATAATAAATTCGCAAATAATTATATGTACGTATTAATAATTAATTTTTCAGTCATAAACCAAGTGAACCCAAACGAGTTATTGTTGAAAAAGGACAACCAACGATTGTCAATTTTACTCTATATCGTATTCCACGAGATGATCAAGGTAAATTGGAACCGGATTACCCTCAAATGATTCCTATAATACCACAATTATCTCCATTCGAAAGAATGATCGACGATTACGTCGATACCCAAGATTATAGTTACTAACTTTCACCAAGTTCACTTTTCTATGAAATCATTCCTTTTTTACTTTCTATTTAATTTAATTAACATAATTGCACATAAGTCTTAACCACATTTTATTAACAGTTTCATTATTTGTTTTAATTATTACTAACTCCTTACTCTGACTATCAATTTTCTGTTTTTTATTTTTTTTTCTCTATTTTTACAGCAATTATTTTTGAGTGAACGAACAAAAAAAAACATGACACTTTTTATTAAAAACAACAAGTAATATTTAACTCAAATCAATGCTACAATTGAGAAGACATTATTTGTTTACAATTATCAAAATCCATGACTTATTTATATGATCAAAATCTATTTTAATAAATACACAAGGTACAGAGAAAATTCCATTAAAGTTATATTATAAAATAAAACGTTAATTATGAATGAGAATCTGAACATAAATAATCTATAAGAATTTATTTACGCGATTTGATGAATAACTTAGTTAAATGTTTTATGTAAAACTATTGAGATATCACTAAATTCCAAAGAAGTGAATTGAATTGTAAGTTAATTGAATATTATATAGAAATATTAACATATCTCTCTAGCGTGGTGAAAAAAAATTTTCTAATTGAAACAAAAAATATGAAAAAAAAAAATTATTTAAATCTTGATAGATGTTTTATTATACATGTTTTCGTGTTTTTAAATTTAAAAATTAATCAAATGTATCATGTATAAAGGAGTGTCACAAAAAGAACAAAAATAAAGTGTATGTACTCTTATGAGTAACTGAATTATTCCATTTATTCAAACAATATTATTCAAGCCTATTCCTTTACATTCCTTGAATAATCATTTTTATATTATTTATAATTATTTTTTTAGTATTTTCTACTCATTATTTGGATTTATTTTGTTTTATTTTTTATTTTTTCTTTGTGCCTTGTGTTATTTTTTATTGTTTATGCTTTTTATATTATATTTGTATTTTTATTTATTTTTTTTTGTTTTTTTTCTTTGCTTATTAATAGTTGCAGCAATGTCTGAAAAAATAGAAGAAATAGAAAGATCTAGAGATGAATATGGGTTTTATCATAATATTTCATTTTATCATCATAATTACGTTGAAATGGAAAAAATGTTAAAATCCATAAATAATTCTTATCCAAATATTACCCGTCTCTATTCCATTGGAAAATCTGTTCAGGGAAGAGAGCTTTACGTAATGGAAATAACAGACAATCCTGGAAAACATGACCCCAATAAACCAGAAGTAAAATACATTGCTAATATGCATGGAAATGAAGTAGTTGGTAGAGAGATGTTATTATTATTACTCAAATATTTATGTGAGAATTTTGATACGGATCCAAGAGTTACGAAAATTCTAAAGACGATTAGATTACATGTGATGCCAAGTATGAATCCTGACGGTTATGAAGTTTCACAAGTTGAAGTCGATGATGACACAGGGAGATATAATGCACATCATGTAGATCTCAATCGAAACTTTCCCGATCAATATGGTGAAACAAAGGTATTACAAATTTTTTTTAAATTATATATAAAACAATATTAGTGACGGAAAAACATGTCTATAAATTAGGCTTGGTGGAACTTTTTCAACATTTCTTTCTTATTTATATAATTATAATACTTACTTTTCACTTACTATCATTAATTAACATTGTTTAAATATATTTTATATATATTATTTAGTACAATAGGTATCAAGAACCAGAAACAAAAGCAGTAATGGATTGGATATCGAAAATTCCATTCGTTTTATCAGCAAATCTTCATGGTGGTGCTTTAGTAGCAAATTATCCATACGATGATGGGCCTATAGAAGGCAAGACTGAACCAAATCCAAGTCCAGATGATGCAGTGTTTAAAGCTATATCTTTAGCTTATTCAAATATCCATCCGAGAATGCACTTAGGAAAGCCATGCCCGCTTCCACCTGGAAAGAGGAAATGGCTAATGACTGTGCTGGACGAAAAATTTCCTGATGGAATTACTAATGGTGCAGCTTGGTACTCTGTCTCAGGTGGAATGCAAGATTACAATTATCTTCACAGTAATGCTTTCGAAATTACCTTAGAAATTGGATGTACTAAATATCCGAAAGCGGAAGAGTTACCTAAATTGTGGCTTGAAAATCGAGAGGCTTTATTAGCTTTTATCGAAATGTCTCGTAAAGGAATTCATGGATTTGTTCGTTCTTCAATTGGCAATCCAATACCCCATGCTAAAATATCTGTGGAAGGAATAAATCACGATATCTACACTGCTGAAAGTGGTGATTATTGGAGATTACTCGTGCCTGGTACTTACACGGTTACTGCAAGTGCTGTTGGATATGAATCTTCAACTCAAATCGTAAAAGTACCATCCAGTCGTAAATCTCGACAGCAAGAAGTTACCTTAGATTTTACACTCATGCGAGACGATAATGAACACTGGTCAATATATTTTTTTTAGATTTTTCTAAAAATTATCTATCATTTGTGATTTCGAAGTGAATAATAATTATTGAATTGTTGCAGGTCTTCCGCTTATGATTTTAGATTAATGAATAACTTAAAAAGTGGTTATTTGACGAATGCTGAATTAAATACTCAATTAGGAAACCTGGAAAATTTACAAAAAGAAAGTATTATTGAATTTCTTGCTGGAGAGTCACTTGATAGCATGGCAATACATTCTCTAAAAATGACGAGAAATGTAAGTTGCATTAATGAATCATTTCGTTAATTAATTGTTATTTGAAAGTAATTATTTTATTTATATTCTATTACAGTTAGGAGCTCCAGAAGAAAATAAGCTTCATATCGCTTTGATAGGAGGGTTATTTGCATCTCAACCAGTGGGTCGTGAAATTTTTATTCGTCTAGCACATCATTTATTAACAGGAGATACACTTGGAGATCCACCTATAAAACGTCTTTTAAATAATGCAGTATTACATATCATTCCTGGTATAGACCAAGCCTTTGACAACATTCACGATAATTGTAATCCTATTGTTGAAAACGAAATTGGACAGAAATTAATAGACAATAAAAATCCTGATGAGTTAGATCCAGTAACGAGTGCTCTTAAAAGAATGCTGGCTTCAGAAAGCTATAATGTCATTGTGATTATCGGTGGAGGAAGTGTTAGTGTTGATTACACAGGAGACCCTTTTAATATTTATAAAAATTTTGCTGTTGAATATAATAATGCATTGCATAAACAACAATGTGATTATACAAATAGTAATTCAAGTGCTGTTGGCAATTTCATAAACAATAATTATCACATTCCCGTTATTACACTTTCACTCTCTTGTTGTAAATACCCAGGAGCTGAGACAATTCCAACTATTTGGAGAGACAATTTACTTCCTTTAAAAGAATTATTATTCGATATAACGACAGGAGTTCGAGCTAGAGTGACTGATCGTAATGGTAAACCATTACGAAATGCTTCAGTTATGATAAATAATAATGTGTATCCAGTGAGTAAAAATATGGCTTACTTTATCAAGACTCTTTTGCCTGGAAAATATGTAATAATGTTTTCTGCTGATAAATATGGTCGACAAACTGTAGATGTTATAGTAAAAGAGCATGAAATAACAGATATAAATATTGAATTGCAAGAATTAAACAGTATTGCAATTGTTGAAGAATTACCAAATCCTTTGAAAAACTTCAAAGAAGATGATGGAGTAAATCGTGAACTCGATGAATTAAATAGTAAATACGAGAAAATTTCACAGCTCCATGAAATTGGAACTACTTCACATGGTTCAAAGATTATGGCCATTGAAATTGGTGTTCAAAGTAATAAATTGAAATTATCTGTAAAACCTACAATTGTCTTTACTGCAGGAATAAATAACGGTGCTCCAGCTACCTCTGAGACTTTAATAAATTTAGCTAAATATCTTTTAATTAATTACCATCAGGATGAAGACGTAACAAATATTCTCGATAAATATGCTATATTTATAGCTCCAAATATTTATCCTGATAATAGAAATGATTCAACTTGTTCAGTAAAGTCATCAGGGCTTGAATTCCCTATCGATGGATCTTTTAATGCTGATACTCAGATGGTTGCTAATTGGTTGAAAAAATTAAACGCTATTTTAGCAATCAACTTAAATATTGGATCAAGACATGTGGAAATACCTTACGGTGATAAATATGGTAGAAAAGGAAATTATGAGACTGACGATGATGAAGTCTTTAAATATTTTGCAAAAGTTTATACGGATAATCACCCAACATTACTATCAGATCAAAAGTGCAATGAAAATATACATGTTGATGCCAATAAAATTACTCATGCTGGAGAAGCTTTCTTAGAAAGTAAACAACATTCTTTAATAGATTTTATGTATTTAAACACTAGCACGTTTATGATTGATGTTTATGTTACTTGCTGCAGCAATGATGAGCCAAATAAAATCTGGGTAGAAAATAAAAACAGCTTTATACAAATTATTAAGGCAGTTAACATAGGAGTAACTGGTTTTGTAGTGACAGAAAATGATGAGCCGATTAAAAATGCGATTATAACTTACGATGATTCAATTCATAAGGTTTATAATCATAAAAATGGTGCTTACTGGATTCTATTGCCTGCTGGCATGCATAATATATCTGTACAAGTTAATGGATATTTTTCAGATACTAAAATGATATCCACACCAGATTTAAAGAAATTTTCTTATCTTATATTTAAACTAACGAAAGATGAAAGTATCTTTGGAATGCCTAGACTCGTCTTTGTCATTATTTCTGGTTTGTATAAATTATTATTTATAATGGTTAATTACTTCAAAGCCTAAGTTTATTGTGAATGACAATTAAAGGTTTATTTATAGTAAAATCGAATTGTACTCAATATAAATATCGTTTTTTTTTAGGAATTGTTTTTGTTGGAATAATTTCATTAGGAATAGTTTGTCACGTCAACTGTCGTTCAAATTCGATATCAAAGAATAATCGAAGAGCTTATGCTTTTAGTTTATTGAGAGATGGCACAAGCTTCTTTGATGATGATGAAAAAGAAGTAGAATTATTTAAACATCCTAAATTTTCAAAAGGTATTAATAAAAAATATTCAAACACGTTTACAAAGTTTCTAATTAAGTCATGTATGAATTTAAAAAATACTTAACATTTTTGTAGCTGACGAAGAACCATTGAATTCAGAGATTAATCGTCCATACTATGATGGAAATCAATCAGATTCAGACGAAGTTAGTGATTTAGAATTCGTCAAGCCTGAACGCAACTGGCGTGAGAAAATTCCAATTATTGGATTACATTAATATTGTTAGGATTTTTATCATCCGTCCATTGGTAAATTTTATATCTTTTTCATATTCTCTTATGTTAGATAATTACAATATAAAATAAGGATATTTAAATAAGTTTTATATGTAAAAATATTTTGAATATGCGAGGAAGCGCTTTTCATAAATTTCCTATCAAGTATATAATTTTTGAATTTAAAAAAATGTAAATATGCATATAATTACATTCTTAGGTTATTGGAGAAAAGTAAATTTTTTGAAATAATATTTTTAAGTAAATATATTAAATTATTGTATTAAGTGTTATACTTACAAAAAAAATATGAAGTAATACAAAATAATATTTAATGAATAGTTTATGAAATAATTTTATACCGATGTATTATTGAGAAATATCCATCAGCAAAATGACTTTTTTACGATTTTCTATATTAGATATGAATTTTTATATTTTCAATTAATAGTTTTGAAATGGTTTTTTGCATTCCTTTTAATTATGATTCATCTTAAATCACATTGATAATCTTTTCAATGATTGAAATCAGAATAGATTAAAATTTTTGAAGATATTTTAAAAGTGAACTTATATAATTTAACAAAATCTTGATTGAAAATTTTTTGATCTGATAATTCAGTAAACAAACGAGATTTGTTAAATAGTTCTCAATTTTCGAAAAAAGTAATGACATAAAAAATTGCTTCTATTCGAGATATGGAATAATTAATTAAAATCTGATCTGCTGATTTTGGACATACTAATTAGTTACTTTACCATTTTAGGTTATTGCTTTTCTACGAGATTTATTTTTTTCCTTTTTTTTTATTTATTTTTATTTTATACTCTGTATTAATCTATGCAAAAACTTATTAAATAACTTACAAGTGATACTTACTCTAGAAAAAATAAAAGATATAACAATTATTGAATGCTATGTTTGTTATCAAATAGAGAATCTGATCAATATACAATTTTTACATATGTAATAAATATATGCATTTCGAAATCTTCAAAACTTCACATCAAATATTTTATTGTGTTTTTTTTAAAAAAACATAAATATTCATTTTAGTTGATTACACGTTTTATAAAATTCCAAATTAATTAAAGCATACAGATATAAAACAGGTACTATTTTATATTAATCCACAACGATATTGTTGGTATTATTGTCATATAATTTATAATAAAGTATAAATGATCGTTATATGTTGCTTTGATTATAATTATAGTATTATAAGTAATACATTCAGAATAATATTTACGATAATTGAGAGCTTTCGAACGGAAATAAAAAAAAAGTAAATGCAATTAAATGCAGCTAAATTTAAAATTTAAATTATTTTAAAATTTTTTGCTGTACATTTTTTGTGCCTTATAACATAAATATATATTAAAAATATTTTTAAATCTCATTTTTATACTTAATTATTTCTCCATAAAAAATTTGTACACACAATCATTCCAATTTTATAAAATTATTTGCCATGAAAAATCTCTTTTTTATTTATAAAATTTCTAAGATATTTTTGTTGTCGAAATAATTATCATCATGTACTAATAGTTAATACAGAAATAGAAAAATCTATTCAAAAATATTTATTGTCTTTTCAAGAAGTAATTAGACTTATGTCAATTATTAGGCTTAATATGAAATGTTTAATATTAATGCCTTTCTCTTTTATACAGTAATTTTATACAAATTTTTAGTTGATTATTATTTAAATCAAAGATCAATTTTTCAAATTTATGACCTAATTTATAAATAATCAATTGCATTGAATTTTTCTAATATTCCTAACTGAAATTTATACATTTTTTTACTAAAATACTTCCTTATTAAACTAATTTTTAAGATGCCATAAAAAATGAACTGATTAAAAATTAATATAGATATCTAAGTTTCATTTCAAACTTATATAAATATAAAATTCGGATATTAAATATGAATGAATGAATGAAAAAACGTAATGATAAATTTGACGAAATACTGACAATTTTGTGTAGCAATTAAAATTTGTAAATACTAATGATTAATAGAGAAATACTGATGAAATATTTTTACATCGGAGTTGGAAAATATGAAGGATAAAGGATATTCCAGAGTATGGCAGCAGCCATTAATGCAGTATAAGTAAAAATACTAGCCCACCAAACAACTTTTTCCCATGTTTGCACTTCTAGATTGCGTAGAACATTAATTCCAACTAATAGACCGGCTATTGCGCCAGCAAAATGGGCTACATAACCAATTTGATCTTTAGTTCCTAATACATAACGCTTATAAATGGCCTGACCAACATCTACGGATGTAACAACAATAAAAACACACAGCTGGAGCACTGCGAATTCCATTTGACGCCAGTTCATTAAGATTGTTGCAACGTGGGCAGTGATCAGAGCATATACGCCGCCAGATGCACCAGCAAGATAAACTTCTGGATCAGATACTGAAGTTCCAAGAGATCCAGCAATCACTCCAGCAATATAAATGATCAAAACGCGCCACCATTTATGCACCATTTCTAGTGGAATGCCAAGCATGATTTGAACCAGCAAATTAACTAGTATGTGGAACACTCTGTGAATTAATGTAAATATTATTATAATGATCCATTGTTGACGTATCATTTATGATAAATTTATCACATTACATTCAGATTATTTTTAACAATAAAATAAACTCCAATTACCCAGCATGAACCAGCATATATGTGAGATATCTCCAAGCTTCATATCTCTTGTGTGGATTGTATATAAATAATGTAGACACTGGTCCTGTCAAAGTTTTTTCTACAATAACATCATATAAATATAAAATTATTTCAATAATTGAAATAATTATCATTGCTATTGCTGGTGGTCTGCAGCTATATTCTTCTTCATATAAACCATCCGGAAAATCAGTATTGGCTCGTACAACTTGTTGTGATGGTACTACGGGTCTTTGTGGTACCATGGTATGTACATATCGAGAAAGGAAGTGTCCGAAAACTCCTTGCATATCTTTTCTATGAATCTAAAAATTTATTTTTTTATTATAAATAAAATTTAAATAAACAACATTAGAAATAGCAATAATTATGAAAATTAGTTTACAAATATTGGCTAAAAACATTACCATCGCAATAAATTCTGGATATTCCAAGTATCCAGAATCATTCAAGTCAGCTTTTTGCATTATAAGTCTTACAACTCGTGGAGGAATATCGTCATTATAACTAGAACCTCGAATCATAGCCTTCAATTCATGGAATGATATCCTGCCATCTCCATCTAAGTCATACTTTTCAAAAATATTTTTCCAATGCTAAAAAAAGTCAATAATTAGCAGCCAACATAAAATAGAATGAATAAATATTATTTTATACCATATTTTGGAAACTTGATTGAAATCTGACAAAAATAAATAACTACTTGAGATTCTGAATGCATCAATACTTACACTATCATTGTATTGTAGGGGAATGGTCACTTGAGCTTCTCTATCTGGTCCACTCGCCATCCTTATTAATCTAAAACCTCTTGAATAATAAACAAAATTTAAAAAAATTAAAAAAATAAATCTTCGAATCATATAAAAATTTATAATTATTATATAAAAAAATTTTAGCAATTTTTAAAAATCATAGTAAATAGATTTAAAGTTTATAAATGCATAATAATGAATTTTTAACATTTATCTAAATTTAAAACATGATTTGATGTAAAATGGATGATAAACGCATTTAATTAACGATTAGTAATCACCTGTTACATAAAATAATTTTGGAATAGATTTACTAAAGAATAGAAGACAATACCATGACAGGTGTCAGTTGATTCCAACAGGTGACTAATAACTGAACAAATGAATTGCTTATTCAGATATATTTTTTTATATTAATTAATAACTGATAAGTATATTGAACAGTACGATTCTTTATAAATTTATTTCATTGAAAAGTAGAGAATACAACAATCGTGAATGCGATTAAGAATAGCAGAATATTTACCGTTATGACAGGTGTTTGTATATAATTTTTATGTTTGACGCGTTCAAGTACTATGCTTTTAGGTTATGAACGGCTTTATGAATAATAAAAGAAAAAGTATGAAGGAATTTAAAAAAAATTCTTACCTCAGTAATTTAAAATAAGATATAATAAAAAAATCTGATAAATATCTTTCAGAGATTAGTATGAGTCATCGTGTAATTCACATAATAACAATCACGAATTTTACGGTAAATTATAATCTTATGAAAAAATTACAAATATTAAATCGTTAATTTTGACTATTAATACAAATATTTTTCTAATAAACTGGCTTCAAATATTGTTACAATAAGAAAATTTATAACGCACTATAAATTTTTTTGTTCATACTTTATTAAATAGCTGAGATGATGAGCTCAACATATCTATAAACATTAACGTGTATGACAGAACGCTTCACTTGTAATACATATACAACAAAACATTAAACTATTGTTACAATGCTCGCCTGAAGCTATGTGTATATGTGAGAGTCCAATGCTTCAATTGTTTTACCCACCTGGTATGGTTTCCTTGGAAACGTGAATTATTGTTATGACGACAAACAAACATCAAAACTTATTCGTGTAAATAAATTAGAATATATTTTGAAAGTGTATGTAACATGTTAAACATTTATTATTTCGTTATTTAAATATTTTAAAAACTGAAATAGCTATTTTTTTGAAAATACTGATGACGATGAATTTTGTCGAGCCAAAGCATTCAAAAATAATGAGAAAACAAATAATCGTTTTAGTAATTAACTACACAAAGCATATGTAGATAACTGTAAGAATGTTTTTAACAGACTCAGGAAAAATAAAAATTTCTGCTGATTATCGAGTCAATCAACCAATTGAGAACTTTAAAATCAGGTAAGAATATGTCTTGTTGAGTATTTTCGGAAAAAATTTTATCGTCATAATTTTATAGGAAACAATGAATTTATTTATAAGTTTCAATGTTTACCTTTAGTATATAAATTTTTCTTCGTAACCAGACGGTTCTTTTTTAAGATTAACAATATCTAAAATAACTACTCTTTCATTACAATTTTCGTGGATGTTTCTTTTTGTTTATTATTTCAGAATTAAGATCATTCAACGGAAATCCCCACTAGCTGAACTGTTTGAATCAGAAGATGAAGTGAGAGATACAAATTTTTTAGAATCTGAAGAAATGATTTTTGAATGGCAAAAAAAAGTATTTAGTTCATTTGAGATAGATCATTTTAAAGATGAAAGAAACTGTATAAATAAAACACATGAAGCTTATCATGAGGAAATTTTAAACAAAAATTTGGAAGGTTCTCGACTTTATTCGTATATTCACAAAGATTTATTTAATTACGAAAAAAATCCTGTAACAAAAGAAGGTTTCAAGTCATTCTTATCAGTCAAAAATGAAATTGCAATACCTGCTATTCTTAATAAAAAACCTTTTCATCAAAGATACAATAAAAAAGTTATCGACTCAGTGCCTAACGATTCACAAATTCGTTCAAACCATTACCTATACAAAGATAGAAGAGTTATGCATTTAATGGTAGATTTATCTTCAAAAGATCAAACTTTTAAAGATCCAGAGGTTTCAGAAATTCTTCTTTGTAGGCTAACTTTTGATAAAGCAGGGAAAATATTAACAGTTGATCCAGATTTTAACAGTGATGAATGCTACACGATTGAAGAAGCTGGTATGATTTATGATTATTGGATTGAACATGCTTCTAGACCTCCAACAGAGGAAGAAATGCAAAGGCAAGAAGATTTATTACGTCGTGTAAGTAATCAGAATCATTAATTATTACAATAAGTGGGAAATTTTTTAAGAATGAGCTCGATGGTTGCAATTTATTCATTACATATTTTATTTGATTGAATTATCATTGATAACTGCAGAGAATGTTAATAATCAATTTATGTATAACACGTGCATACCATAACATCAGTAAAAATACAAAGCAATCGATTCAAAATGGTATACATTTCTTTTGAAAGCTTTTTTTTCTAATCTAACATTGTAAGAATATATTTTTACTTACCCAACATATGAAATTTCCGAAATTTGGCGCATCATCTTCATTGGATCTGTTATTATTTTTTCCTCTTTTTACTACAAATCAGTTAATCGAAATATGAAATTACACTCATCAAAAGTTAAAAACTCTAAAAGATGATTCATTTAATTTTTGAACTCAATCTTGAGAATTTCAGACATATATGATTCGGCGTCGAGGAATGTATAGACACTAACACTTGAAGTTAATCATTACACGTTTGTGATATTAATCACAGTTTAATATCAAATACATTGAGATGTTGAGTGCACGACAATCGGAAAATGACTGAGTCATGTATGCTTCTTTTTTTGCTCACCAATATGTCAGATTGAAACATTCTCTCACGTTATAGGGCCATGTGTAAATCTCGATGTAGTTAATATAATTATTTATTTACAGAAGTGAGCAATCATTGTTTTTAAAAGATTTAGATAGACAAATACCCTTCAACAATAGAAAAAGATATGTGAGATTTTTGTTATCACTAGATTACAGTTTGTGTATTTTTCAAATAAGACAATAACTTCTCTTTTTTTATCGACAATATTATCAGTAATCAAGTATAAACCATGCTTATTGATAGTATTGTTCAATTGTAAAATGGTCTTATATTGTTTAAATAATTTATATTTGCGTCATGGACATGTTTTTCTTTATAGGAAGCACAAGAAAGTATCTTAAACCGAGAGTTAAAAATTTATTCTGATATGAAAATGCCTCCACCTAACATACTTCGATTGTACTTGACGTTAGATTTCACTGAGGCACGTGGTTTTCCTTATGACGCAGTTTTTCTTACGTATTCAATTGATTTACCAAAGAACTGGAATACAAATCGACATGACAGTTTGTCTGGTAGAACTCAGAGAAGTCGAATGGTGAATGGATATGCTCATTTAAGTCATACTGTTGAGATTTCTCTAGATTTTGACTTAAATTGCTTGAATGATGAAAATGTTCAACTTTCTTGGCCTTATTTGTTGATCTCTGTGGCATCATTGGATAAATGGACAAGGTAATTGATTTACTTCTTTATGAATTAATGGCTTAATTAATTATTTATGTAACTAATTAAATTATTTTATTCATTACTTATGGAATGGAGATGTGAACATTATTTTTGTTGTTGATGCTGTTAAACATAATTAACCGATCATTTTTGGAAATAATGACGTATTTTACATAAATTCTTTATTGAAGGTATCGAATAGAAGGCTATGCTTCTGTTCAACTACCACCACGGCCCGGTTCTTATGAATTTCATTTACAAACTTGGAGACCTATAACGGGTTTTATCAACTCTCTTCGACGTTTTTTCACTGGAGGAGCAGCAGAACTGGAGGATATAAAATATTGCGGAATTCCTCGAGATCATCAAGGATTAGTTCTTGATAAAACTGAACTTAATGTTGTCTCTGGAGGTATAATAGATCTTCGAATGAATATTGTTCAGCAAAGTCGAAAATTTGCTCCAAAACTCAGGCGTAACAAACATACTCGTAATAAAATTAATCATGAAGAATTGTTAAGAAATGTAGAAAATGTTGTAGAACAGTACAAAGCTGCAAGAGAGCGAATGATACAAATCAGAAGTACAAGTACCCCGCAAGAATAAAACAGAATGTATAAAAACGTAATAAACAATAAGATCAACTACTGATTTATTATAAAATATCAAAATAATAAAAAATAAGCAATATGATATGTTAAAATAAATCTGAATGAATGATAAAAAAAATTGATTAAAGATAATGTTTTTGAAAAATGAATAAATGCCAAATAAATGTATAAAAAAGTGCTAATGTTTAACGACGAAATTTTACCAACTAACGCTGTCATAACGGAGGTGATTTTATTTCAACAAAAATAACAATTTACATTGAATTGTTTTGATAATAATATTATCGTGTATGCTACACTTTTAGTTTACTGTAGGCGTGGTATGCGCTCGCTTGCTATTAATAGTAATTTATCCACTTCAAAAATTTAAATACCTTGTTTTCAATCATTTATTTTCAATTATTATTCATAATTTTTGTAGATAGGTATCGTGTCATTCCTAGCCCCTTTAATATCATCCAATCATTTATTTTACAATTTGCAAGAGAGGAAACAAGTGCCTCAACATTAGCTTATTCAATTGTTTACTTATTTACTCATTCATTTATCATTTATTTATTTAATTACTTAATATTTTTCAATATACAGCCTTTTTTCTGTTAACGATCGAGCTCTTCACGATCGTTTCCAAGCTTTAATCAAATAGGTACACTTGTAACGGTATAATTACGTCTCTCTAGTCTATCTTCTTATTTCAATTTATTTATTTACTTATTTATTTATTTATTTGGAGCAATAGCAGTGATAATATATTCGATCATTTTGTTTCTTAGATAAGGAGTCTCTAAGAACTCATAAAATCAGATGCAGCAAAAATACTGCTCCCCCCTCCCCAGTTTAAATTATTTTTAATATATTAAACACCACTTTCATTTTTGGAAGCATTAATAATTTTTTTTTTTCACCACAGTAAATTGTTTAAATTTAATGCAAGTCGAATTATCGGGATGAATGAATATCTTTCCTTCATATAATCTAACAATTTTTTATTTTTCGTTTTTTATTGAGAGAATATGACCATTTTTATCAGAAAAAATAAAAATTTGGCTATGCTTGATAATTTATTTTTATTGATTAATTATCAATTATCAATTAAATATCATTCACGATTAAATTGTTGATGCATGATTTATTAATATTTTTTTACGTTGAAGCTTTCATATTATCCGATTAAATGAGTCATTATTTGAATTAATTTTATTTAATAATAATAACAAGAACGTGAAGGAAATGTAAGATACGACACGGACTTGAACTACGAAGAATAGAGTAGACTACATAAATAATTATTGGAATAATAATGTTGAAAGGCACCGGTCTTCTTTTATGTACTTTTTATCATTTTTACTGAGATTTGAAACGCACGTAAACCTGTCACGATTGAAAACATTTAATTACATCGACATTGATATTTGAAATAATTTTTAAACCAACGTATTATATTATTATTTTTTTTAAATTATCTTTTACTCAATTTTTAATTTTTTAATAATCATTAAAAGCCGTAGATAACGGTTAGAGACGCAGTCCACATTAAATTGAAGTCACATTGCATACAAATATAAAATTAGGCTGTATAAAAAGTCAATGTGTATGTGATTTATGAGTGCGCGATAATTGAATGTGTTTTGAGTAATCAAAAAATGTATTATTGTTTATATTGTTAAATTAAATAAAATTCACATTTATTCGTTCATTGATAATTAAAGTAATTTGTTTTATTATTAATTAATTATGAATTATTATTAATATTCTCATTAATCGGTCATTTATTCGTGAATAAGAGAACGTAGTCGCGAGAGAAGTTCCCTAGTCAGTTCGTGATTTTCTATTTCTTTTTTTACTAGATGCTATCTATCTACTTTATTTTATAATCCTAAACCTAGCCACTTAGACTAACAATATTCTAATAATTATATAATTACTTGTTTACCTTAAAAACTAAATATTATGTACTATTTACAACGCTTAATCTTACAAATCTTCAATCACTTGTTTACCAAAGAAAGAAATCAATTTACACAACATAAACGATCATTTGTTTAATGATACAATTTCTTCTCATTGTTTGATTCTTTCAAACATGGAAAAATGCTTAATGCAATTTTCAAAAGTTTTTTTGTTGAATTCTACATACATGGCTTTCAATATCTCACACTGGTATTCATCACAGACGTATTCGAAATAAAAACACGCACACCTTTAACGCTGTAGTATGATTTTAACGATTACATTCAATATGTATATACAAAAAAAGTTTATAATTTTTTATTATTTTTTACTTTTTCTTTTGGAAATATTTTTCTGAATGTCACCTTAATTTGGCTTTCATACTGTGCATTAAAGCTTGACGTCCGTGGTTTATTCTTTCTTTTCTTCATTATTTTAAATTATTTATATTATAATAATAATAATAATTATTATTATTATTTGATAAAATGTTTAAGATTTTTTATGTAAATATACATTGAAATCACAATTATTACATCTTGAATATTATTCAAAATATTTTCAACTTACTTTCGACATTACAAATTATAAAATTAATAATAAAAACAAAGCTTTGAATAGTAAGCGTTATTGTTAATTTGACAGATTAAATTTTTCTAAAAAATGAAAATAAAGTCAAATTTTATATAAAAAAACCACAGCTTCAATATTCGAATCAGTGTGTATATAAAATGTTTCAAAACACTAGAGAATTCATATCGATCGTTTCCTTTTTTTTATAATATCTCATTTTCTTCTTTCTTTTTCGGGTAATTTATTATCTTATTACAAAATCATTGCAAAAAACGCTCAATCGTTTTGAGTATACAAAAGCAAACTATACGTTACTTTTTTTTATTTCATACAAAGACATGACGTTGATGAGCTTTCAAATCAGACCAACGAGGAATTTCCTCGGCTAAGTCACATCAGTCCTCATCAGAAAGTGGTTCGTATTGAGCAGAAAGCAATGGTGCAGGTTCTGATTGCATTTGCTCGGTTTTTGCGACAGTTGTAGATGCTGAAGTAGGAGGCGGTGGTGCTGGAGGTGGTCCTGTATGAACTCCAAGAGCACTGAATGGATAAAATGTCGTAGGAGCTGATGGTGGTGGTTGTGGTTGATTTGGACTTTCATCAATCACCATTTCACCACCTGACGGGCTCTCAGATGGTTTATCATCCTTGTCAGCATTTCCGTTGCCACTTATTCGTTCACCCGTGCCTCCTGATTTATCATCCTCTGACGTCCGCATCACTTCGACAATCTTATTCTTAACATAATCTAGTGGAGAGAGATGGGGTTTGTTCACAGGAGCTCCAGACGTCGTTGTGGCAGTGGTTGCTTCATAAAAACGCCTCGCATAATGGTTAGCTGTTGCATCAGGAGGTGATACAGGTTCTACGGAATGAAATTGTTTTGAAACTGATGTTGGTGGTGGTTGTGATTGCGAAGATGGTTGAGGAGGTGGAGGTTGCTGTTGTGTTTGAGAGACTCGAATTATTTGACGTTCATCTGTGGATTTTACTGTTTCTAATTCAGCTCCTTCTCGACGTTTCCATTGATCTTCAGATATTGAATATCTATATAACAAAACAATTATTTCCTTATCATGTGTTGTAATTATTATTTTTATTAAACTAACATCGATGATAAAACTTTTATTTACCCGGGATAAGATCTGTATGGTGCGTGAGGAGGAGCTCCATATTCCTTGGTCACAATGTGATCTACATGATCACTGAGAGTAATTGTTTTTCCTTCTCTTGGAATTTCAGCTGCGGGCTCCCTATTATTACCACTTCCTTCATTAGCAGGACTGTGAGCAACACCATTAGGTTCTGGTTGATTTTCTCTATGAAAGCTCTGTCAAATAATAACAATATCTACAAATTGATATCTTCTACTGATAACAATAAATTTTTCAAACATTCATTCAAAATAAATACATTTAAAATTAAATCAATTTTACCTGGAATAGCCTATCACCCGGCCTAGTCGGTTGATTACTCGAAGCAGCAGATCCTCCAGTACTCTTAAAACTCTGATTAATCTGATGAGTAATAATTGCATCTATAAGACTAGCAGCTGTAAGAGTAGAAGAACCTTCTCCTGGTTGAGAATTTGATGTTGGTGGACCAGCACGAGAAGATGGAGGGGGCTGAGGTGGAGGAGGTTGTTGCGGTGGAGGTTGAGATCTTGAAGATTGAGAGAACCCACTACTTATTACTCTTGATGATTCCCGGTCAATTTGTTGATCTCTGTAAATTTGTGCCATGTGGCGTCTTTCAGCTTCCACCATCCTCTGTCCAAGAATGTGATGTTGCATTTGCTGTTGTTGCTGTTGATGTAATTGTTGAAGAAGATCTTGTGCTAAACCTCGCTCACGTTGTTGTTGTTGTTGTACAGCCATTCGATGCTCTGCCGCTTCCTTATCACGCATTTCTTTTTCTCGTTGATGAGCCATTTGTTCTCGTTGATGTTGAATTTCTTTTTCTCTTTGTTGGGCTAATCGATGCTCTTCTTTCTCTCTCTGAGCCGCAGCAACCATTTGATGTTGGATTTCCTTTTCTCTATGATGGACAGAAAGCCTATGATCACTTTCTCTCATTTCTTTTTCTCTTTGCATCATATGTTCATGTTGCATTTCTTTTTCACGTTGTTGAGCTAATCTATGTTCTTGTTGTAAATCTTTTTCCCTCTGATGGTGCTGAACAGCTAAACGATGTTCCATTTGAAGTTCTTTTTGCAATCTATGCTCTTCTTTTTCTCGTATGTGAGCAGCTAAATCTCTTTCTCGTTCTCTTTCTCGCTCTCGTTGATGTTGATGTGCGGCAGCCATTCTTTCAACGTTTTGCATTGCTAAACGATGTTCCTGAAGTCGTATTTCTTGCTCACGATAAGCTCGATTATTGTCTACATATCTGTCCGCTAGCAATCGATCTGCCATGGTTTTTCCTAAACCTTCATGACCACTGCTTCCAGAGGATGGATGAGCATGAGGATGAGGTACTGGTAAACTTGGCTGTTGAACAGCTACATCTACTAAGCTTGAAAAAGCTTCGAGACCAGCAGGAGGTGGTTGATAATGAATTTGTTTTTGAGGATTATGTCTTTGAATAACCCCTTGACGTGGTTGAGTATGAGACGGAGGAGGAGGAGTGCTTGTGTAATATAATGTTGCAGGTGGTGGTGGAGGAGGTTCAGATTTTGCTGAACTCTCACTATTTACACTTGTACGACTCCTTTGATGCATTTGTTGACTCGTTATATAATCATTCATAATTATTTGTCGTGATGATAGTTGTTGTTCCATCGTATAACTTGGTGGCGGTCTCGAAGAATAAGAATTATATTGATTACTGTGACTTACGACTACTCCTTGACTCTGACTGGGAGGTGGAACATTAGATGTAGCAGGAGAATGTCTCATTGGTCGATGAAATTCATACATTTGACCACGTTTATCGACTGAGAATGGGTGTACTGGAGTACCTTGAGTAATAGATCCCGATTCCTTAGGTACAGGATTCCCTCCAGAACTTGCAGAAACAGTTCCTGGTGGAGTCATTTGTCGCAAAAGACCTTCATACCTGGCTCCTGGCACTGGAGTTCCATGAGTAATAGAACCACCACTTTTATGAACCGGTCCAATATTGGTTAGCTTAGGAGAAAGTTTTGGATGAGGTGGTGCCACAGTTACTTTATTCATTTTAGGCGTAATTGGAGCTTGTGGTCTTGGAGATGATGCATATACTAATGGACTTTTGGCGCCACGACTCTGATCAGCAACTGGATGTGCATGAGGATGATAGTAAGATCCTGATGGAGGTGCTGGAGGTTCTGGACGATAAATAGTGACTGAAGGCTTATGTGAAGGGTGTGTATGATTATATTCTGATTGAGCTGGCTGTCTTGGTTTTTTAATACTCAAATCCAATGTTCCTTCTGTTTCACGCAATGCTTGTTGAACTTGCATCACTACTAAACCTTCTTTCGGCAACAAATCCGAAGAAGGAGGTTGTGAACTCTGAACTGGAGGGGGACATGGTGTTATTGTTGCTTGCATTTGATCTGTTAATAAAGAAAAAAGTATTAAAATTATTCAATTTATAATACTAATTTTACATAGATGATTTACTACATTCAACAAAAGTGGATATACTTACTAATTTGTTGTGGACTTGGAGCAGATCGATGACAAGAAACAACAGACAGAGTAGCTAAATTCGAGTCCCTATTGGACATGGCAGTAGAAGGTAAACTCGATGATGGCTTGAATTCACGAACAAACGTAATGTCATTTCTGTGATCTGATTTCAGAATATTAGACATAGTAGAGGTGCCTGAGCTCACGGCCGATGAACCTGGTGGTGGAGGTGGTGGCGGAGCGGCTGGACTGTTGATATTTCGCTTTAATTGCATTTCTATAACACCAAGCATGAGATCTTTGACGGTTAAAGGATTTATGCTGCTAGCTGACAATGGAGGTGAATGTTCTGGTAGTGGTGGCTGTGGTGCAGGTTGCACTGGAGGCTGTTGTGGTTGGATAACTGCACTAGCACTTGTTGTTATTGGCTGCACTGTTACGCTAGAATTCTCCAATTCTGCATTACCCTGACCTTCGTCCGCCGTCTCCTGGAACAAGACTCAAATCTCTATCAGACGGCCCAATCAAAAAAAATCGCAAATACGAATGAACGAAGGAAGAATTAAAAAAAATTAAATTTTCTCAAAAGATATTAATGCCAATATTGATAAAAATTTATCGAACGAATATTTTTACCGTGGCAGAACTGTCGTAATCTTCACGGTTATTTGTTGACTGTCCTGCAGCTGTAGAAGTTGGTTGAGAAGACGATGCAGTAGTAGATGGTGGGACAACAGATATTCGAAGATCTGTTGCAGAATTTTCAGGAGGAAAAACGGCATTTTTTGGAGCTCCAGTTGTAACAAGGGATACTGGAGTACTGCTGGATATTGTATTTGCAGGACTTCCTGCGCTTGCAGTATCACTAGAGTCATGAACCTAAAAAAAAATAACAATTTATATTGAAACACAAGTTAAAAAGAATAATTTCTAAAAAAGAAAAATAAAAAATAACTTACAGCCAATTCATCGCAGCTACTTGTACTGCTACCACTTTCCTCTTCATCTGTTAAACAAGGTCTTCTTTCTTCTCCAAGTGATTGATAATATTCTGCAACAACTTGATCAAGTCCAAGCTTCTTACGATACGTTAAGTAATAATTTTTACATTGATGATTTGATTTTCCATTTATTTGTTCTGAAACTTTTTGCCAATTTGTTCCATGCTCTCTCAATGCTCGTCTAAGTTGTTTCAAATCGTCTTCAGACCATTGGCGTGCTGTTGTCTCCGTATTATCTTCATTTGTATCAGTGCTAGCGGTCAAATGTGGTGCTAACCGACGAGATATTCTATTGAAACATGCCGAGCAACATTTCGTGGTATTGTTCGGAATTTGAAATTCCTGTACAGCAGAATCCCAAATTTCAGGCGGTAATTCTAACCATTTTGGTGGTAATGCTCGCAGTCGTTTCACGCGAGTCTTGGAGTTGGCATTATTTACGTTCGGGCAACCAGGAAGTGGACAGGCAGTGTAACGACCACGAACGGCTTTACATCTACAAGTGTTACAGACACGTGCACCCGGCTGTACTTGTTCCTCGCGCAATCCATATTGAAATGCTTGACTACGAGACAGTGCTCGACTATGACTACCTCCTTCTACGACACTTTGACATATCGCACAAGAATGGGGACCTAATTGTCTCCCAGTTTCTGTAACAGACAAACATTATTATTTATTAATTGTTTTATTCAAAGAAAAGATATATTCTGTAAATTTTCTACAATTATATTTTTTTTTATATAATAAAAAATAAATACTCAGAAGTTCGTTTCACTACACATAAATTTATTATAAAATAACACGATTAACCCATATTTTTTGAAATTTTTTCCTAATTGATAAGCGTTTAATCATAATAATTGGAAATGTTCATTAATATTAACGAACTTTAGAAAATACATTAGCAGACAATAAGTCTTATACTAATTTTAATGCATACATTGTTTTTTAAATTCATGCCAATATTTCAATAATAATTTTTATTTCAAATCGAAGAATTAAGAAGTTAAATATTTAAAAGTTTCATTCATCGAAATTAACTGCATTCAATAGTCCTAAGTATCACAGAAACAATAAATGAATTTCAAACAGCAAAATATTTGTTTTTGTTTGTTTACATGTAATTTTTACAATAATTAGTAAAAAAGAATAGATTGATATTTTTTAAAAGTAAATAATTCACAAGTTAATGCATCTAATTTTCTTTTAGATATAATTATCATTTTGTTGATAACTATGTAATTACTGCAAATAGGAAGATGAGTACTTCTTTTATATGCTGTCATGTAATAGATTTTTGTTGAACGTAATTTCAACAAGTGACTGAACAGTTATTACTATCACGCAATAAAGTTTACTTTGAAAATGATAGTGATCAAATAGAATAAAAACCATGAAAATTTCACCACTGCAATAGATTTAATCTTAATTGTTTTAATATTGTGATGTGATACCAATCATTATAACTGGAATTTTAATTATGATAATACATACTAATTACAATTATATTATGATCTTTTCAAAAATCTGTATAAATTACTTAACTACTTGTTGTAAGATTATTTAATAAAATAAAGTTGTTGATCTTTTTTCAATGCCATTCTTGGCCTAGTTCATGATCAAAACTGAACATAGAACTTCACAATAATTTTTATAGTATATATAATAAATATTTGTTGTTTTTAAGCAAAAATTGATTTTTTGAATGAGTTGTTTAGGCTAATTTTATCAGAAGCTAGAACATATCTTAAACAGATGACCTCAGTCTCACATTCTCAATGATAAATATTTAACTCACTGAAGCATTCCAGAACTGTTGAAAGTTACTAACGACTAACAAACTATTAATTTGAATGATTTTTTGAAAGTTTTTGCATTCTATGCTGTTTTATTTATAATAATTTTTAACACTTTGAAATATTGATAGTACAGTTTACTATTAAAAAGTGGACTAAGTAAATAAAGAAAACAGCCTATGTAATTATCGGAAACTTTAAATGAAAATTAATTAAAAACTTCATACACTTCGTGATAATTTTTCAAGCTAATACAGTAATTGAATCAAATTAATTAATAAGTTCCTATCGGTATATTTTAGTTGTACCGATAAAATGCAATATTACAAAGTAATTACATAAATAATGAAAGGAAACTAACGATATTTCAATACTTGTATTCATAATTATACGCAAAATCATTTGATTCATTAAATTCCCAACAGAATTTGTTGACACGATAAATATAAATAAAATAAATGGAAGAGGATCAAAAAGTCAAATGATTAATGTCGATAATGAATGTGTAACATAATAAAGAGAGGAGCAAAAAAGATGATAAAATTAAAATACAGAATAATATTTGAACTTTAAATGAAAGAGTAAAAGGTGTACGAAATGAGAAACAGAATAATTACGAAGATACTGCTGGTTAACTAATTAAGGATAGCCAATTAAAAAGTTCTCGCTAGTTCATCGTTGACGAGAGCTGGAGATTATGCTTATTCAGTGTGCTTTAACTGTAACAGTGTAAAATGTAGAGAGTAGAGGAAACGTTAAAGTTTTTTATAGAATAATTTTAACTTCTTTGTTGGATTAAAAACCTCACTTAATTTTCTGTTTAATTTTCTATTATTTTAAATATCATTTGTTCCACTTTTTTGGTTACATTACAATTTTTAATATTTACCTCTTTTTTACTTTTTCATTTTTTTTTTATTCATTGATTGAGCTAATTAGTACATTTTATAATGCATAAACTTGTAATTAATTCAAACGAAACCAAATAAAAAAAAATCCCTTGAGATTTATCTCGTGCATACTAGTGTCATACGAATGACGATAGAAACGTTAATTGGAATGTTGTATCATCGATTTTCATCCTAATTTCACTAGAGTTTTTTTTGTAAATATATATTTAACTGTCTACCATCGATAATATATCAAAAAAGAAGATTAAGACAAAAAATTGATATAAAACTCTTATTAGTTTACACAGAATAATAAATGTATTCTATGAAAATAGAATTACCATATAAATGAAACAAGGCTTCATTCTTTCACACAGCGTAGGGTTGGACTATGGTTAAATAAGACAAAAGGATAAGAAAGCAACGATTCAAGGATATTAATGGATAGAGTAAAATGCAGGGGAGGCCTGCTAATTAAGCTAGTACCGTTGAGTACTCATTGAATAAAAGAAGGTTGGGGAGTAGAAGAGTGGAACTTTTTTAAATGTTTTATAAAGTGGAAATGGGATAGAGAAAAATGTTTAACTGATTTTACGTTTGTATTGGCGAAGTACAAATTGCTGTTGAAAGCTCTCAACTATTATGTTGAAAGAATTATAAAAAAATTTCTTTGTCAATATCAATGCTACTATTGAAATCATATTTTTTCAAATAGAATAAATTAAAAATACCTTATTAAACACTCAAAAAAAATTTTTAGGAAATATTTCAGTGAATATAGTACATACATCAAACAATGTATTCTGGAGATAATTTTTTGCACTTACCGTAAGTAAAAGATGACAAGTGTATTTTTTGAATAATAAAAGTATAAATATTTCTCTTTAACAGTGAATTTTGAGTCATTATAAATAATTATTTTACTAAGATATCTTTTAAGTATTAAGTTTACTTACAAGAACTCAAAATTTACTATTAAATAAAAATATTTTTACTTTTACACTTTGAAATGTGCACTTGTCATTTTTGCACTGACGTTTAGTAAAAAAATGTTCTCCGTATATGAGAGAATTGAGGTTCAAATGTAGTAAATATACTTGAATAATTAAACATAATTACAGGAAAATTCCAAGTACATAATAATTGGAAAATAGGAGGATGTAAATCAAGAGGTTGAAAAGCAAAAGGGTATGTAGATATTGTCAAAACATAAAGTTATGCCAATTGTAATGCTTTGTGAACTGAAAATTCTTAGTAATTACTGATCATGTTGGATGGATTAACCGAAGTTGGTAATAAACGATTCAGAAGGAAAAGAGGATTGCCTCGGCTAAGTTTATAACGTATTCTCTTTGATATTATTCGTAGGGAATTTACTGAAAGCTTGTGTGAGTTGTATAATATGGTATCCCATTGTCACAAATAAGTATAATCATTGAAGACTTTTTTAAGCAAATTGACCAAATAATGATTAAATATAAAGTTATAGTGAAAAATTTACTAGAATCAAAATACTACAAATAATTCTCTTTATTGTGATATATTTTTATGTTCATACACTTATTTATGAGATTTACTCACTACCAATGCGTAGAAAAAATGATTAAAAGCAAACAATTTTATTTGTGTTCTTGTTTTGTAAATTTAAAAAATGAAATCAAACAAAAAGAAAAATCTATTTCCATCATTTTTGTGTTATGAAATAGATATTTTTCTGTCGAAATGAAATAAGACACAAATAAATAGATTCAAAAGAGTAATTTTGCTTATAATTAATGAATTTTTATTGAATTTATTCTCGATTAAATTTTTAAATTCATTCGTCTTTATAAATTATATGTGCTAGTAAATTTACTTAAGAGTATGCCATCTTGTTTCCATTGTAAGTTGAATAATAGATTTAAAATTTGACGGGATCCGAAATTTTATATTTATTGACTCAGTTTTGTACTTGACTGTAAATATAAATATAAGTAGTTAAATAAATGGAGTAAATCAATAGCAACTGAATGATTATATTAAAAAATCAAACTAGTAATTTAATTAACGATCAAAGTTGCGATTTATTTAATAACTGTTTCGATGAAAATTGTTGAATATAGTTATGTGTACAAAATTTATAAATTTATAAATGAAAAAATATTGGGATTTATTTTTCAATTTTACTAATTGCTGATTTTTATGAAATTGGTAGATAAACAACTATCATGGTGATTGTGAATATTTAGGATTTAGTAAATACTCAAGGGAAAGTATAGGTGATGTTGCAGAGTAAAATGTGGCACCCTAAAAATATTCCAACGATTAATTCTTGAAATAACGAATGTTGAGATTGAAAATGACCAATGTCACATCAGATGCACAAAATTTGACATCAGAGATAGTTTGATCGGTCACTAAAGCTCTGACGGTTGATTACCTTTTCCTTCTATCCATCTTTCTTTCTCTATCTCAATATACCATATTCCAATTTATGTGTATGTATATCATTGTACAAATAACATCTGTCAATTAGGGATGTGGTTGCTTATCAATAGGGTAAAACATTCTCTCTCTTCCCGCTTTTACCTCCCCATTAAATAATTTATTTAGTGTTTTTAAAATATAAATCATGAGTAAATTAATTATAAAAAATACATCACATAATTATTCAAAAGAAAATACATTTTTACACTATTTCATAATGATATAAACAAATAATAAATGTTGAAATAAATTTTGTTGTTTAAATAAACTTCAATAACTCCAATAACGAGATATAGAAATAAATATATTCGTTTGAGTTTACTAGAGTTAATATATAACGATTTGATGTATGTAATTCACTATTTGCTCTGCAAAGTACCGAGTATGCTATATCTATCTAATACTCACGAGTTTGCGAGATGAGGATGAAGTTAAAGAGCAAGAGGGGATTAGGGTTTCTGATACTGAGAGAGAGAGTTATGACGGTAGCCAGGTATT